ATAGTAATAGTAATAGTAATTTTTAATAGTAATAGTAATAAGAAAATAGTAAAAAGAAGAAGAATAAGGATAATAATAGTAGTAAACATAATAATCATAGGAATAAGAATAGTTTTAATAATAATAATACTAATATTAGCAAAAAAATAAGACTAATAGTAATAGTAATAATAAGACTAATCGTAATAGGAATAATAAGACGAATAGTTATAGTAATAATAAGACTAATAGTAATGATAGTAATAATAGTACAATTAAATCATGATTTAATGGTGCAAACAGGTACCAATTAGCACAAGTCATCACGATTTAATTGTGTTTTTGTAGGGAGAAGGTATGTCGAGGTAGGTCAAAACCCAACCCAAACACAACAATTAAATCAGGATTTAATTTTTTTAACTTCTGGATCCATGGGTTTTCACATCTGGGTTTAGGGTTTGGGGTTCAGGGTTTAGGGTCTAGGGTTTAGGTTTCATTTTTTAGGGTTTAGGGTTTAGGCTCAGATAGGTAGCAAGACCTACACAGCTGGATGCCCGACTCCGTGCACACAGCCCTTCGAGGACCGAAGCTTCCATTTGAAGGAAGACATCCCGAAACCCCAAAACCTCAAAACCTCAAAAAGAGCGCACACTTCTGATCGGCCTGCCCAGAAAAATTGCAAGGAGTCGGCCCTCAGCAGATACAGAAAGAAAGGTGCCTTTGGTGTTACCTTTTCTTTCTCATTTGTTGAGGCTGAGGTTCCCTGATGAGCCCCACCTGAAGAAGGGCTGCCGTGGTGTTTCGAGCCCGAGAGCGCGAACTTTTTGGACACTGTAAGTACAAAGGTACTACCTAGCGTGGTTTAGGGTGTAGAGCCCTCAAGCCCTAACCCTTCAAGCCCGTGGCCCGGGGCAGCCGAAGAAATGTCCGCCTTCTAAGCCCGCTTCCGGCACCCAGAGCCCGAACTCTGAACCCAAGCCCCATACCCAAATCCTAACCCCCCAACCACCCTAGCCAACCCTAAACCACACCCTAAGCCCGAAACCCTAACCCCCAAACCTAAACCCTAAACCCTAAACCCTAAACCCTAAACCCTGTAAATAAACCACGCAGCCCTGCACGAAGGGCTGCTTGCACAAGAGAAGCTCGGAGTAGGCAGCGCAGTTTGCCAGGGCTTCATGGGGGCATGGAGCTTGAGGGAATGAGGGGTTTAGGGTCCAAGGGTTTAGAGTTTAGGGTTTAAGGTTGAGGGTTGAGGGTTTAGGGTGTACAGGTTTTCGGGCTCTGAGGGTTTAGAGGTTTTCGGGTTTTGAAGTTTTGGAGGTTCCAGGGTCTAAGGGTTTTAAGGCTTAGGGTTGAGAGGGTTTTTAGGGTTTTAAGGCATAGGGGCTTAGGTTTAGGGCTTAGGGCCTTGGGGTTTAAGCTCTAGGGCTTCGGCGTTAGGACTTAGTGTCTGTAGGACTTAGGGTGTAGAGGAGCTTCGTGTCTATAGACAGATGGATAGACAGGGTTTAGGGTCTAGGATAATTCGGGTTGCTGTAGGGCGCAAGGCTGGAGAAGAGGCTCCTCGATCTGGGGGGGGGGGGGGTTCAGTTGCTTTGGTTTTGCTTTTTGGTTTTGAGCGCTTGGGTTTAGGGTCTAGTAGGGTTCTTGAAGGAGAAGCCCTAAGACCCTTAAAACCCTAAAACCCTAAACCCTAAACCCCTAAGCCAGTCGTGCAAGGCGGCACGGTCTGCATAGCGTGAGGCGCAGCAAATACAGGCTGTGCTCATGCAGCTCTCGAGGCACGGAAGGTATAGTGCGCAGGTGCTAACGTACGTGTGACCTTACAAGAAAGAAGTCTTGCTTTCAACTGCGTGCATTCAGCCTGCGGATCACGCCACGCTCCGCGCACCTATCTTGCGCACACGCGGTCAAGGCGACATCGTCTGCATTGCATGCGGCGCAGCAAATACAGGCTGTGCTCCCGTTTCATGCGTTGGGAATCCTTCGTCATCCTATGGTTTGGGGTTTAGGGTTTAGGGTCTTTAGGGATGAGGGTTGAGGATATCCCCCCCCCCTTTCTTTCTCCTGTCGCCCTCCTGAGGCCTCAAGGCATTCGAGTCCAGAGCTCAAACGTAATCCTGAAGCCCTGCTGACTCAACCCCCCTAAACCCTAAATCCCAAAACCCTTAAAACCCTTAAAACCCTTAACGCCCTGAAAACCCTTAAAACCCCAAAACCCTAAACCCTAAACCAAAATCCTTCAACCCCTAAACCCTCAACCCTTCAACCCTCATTCCTAAACCCTTAACACCCTTAAAACCCCAAAACCCTAAACCAAAATCCTTCAACCCCTAAACCCTCAACCCTTCAACCCTAGACCCTACCTTCGGAGGCCTAACGGGTCTGGTCCTTCCCTCGGGCAAGGTGCTGCCAGGCATGCTCCGGGCTTCGGGTCTTTTAGGGTTTGGGGTTTGGGGTTTCGGGTTTAGGGTTTAGGATTCAGGGTTTCGGGTTTAGAGCTTTCGGGACTTTTGGGCTTCAGGCATTTAGGGCTTTAGGGAGTTAGGGAGTTTTAGGGGCTTTAGGGCGTGGGGCTTGGGGTTGCAGGGAGGGTTGAGGTAACCCTAAACCCCTAAATCCTGAATCTCAGCCAAGTCCGAAGCCCTGCACACCGAACCGGATTCTGATTGTTGATACTTCGTGAAGCTCAGTGAAGGTTCGGGGGGAGTCGGGGGTTGGAGGTCCGTTTGCGCTCCACGGTGTATGTCAACGGGTTTTGGGGCTTTACTTTAGGGTTTAGGGTGGGAGGGGCTTTGGGGTGTAGGGTTTAGGGTATGTTGAGGGTATTGTCAGAAGAGTTCAGAGGGGCGTATTGATCTTGTCCTGAGAGGGGCTTAGAGGTCTTGTGGAAGCCCGAAGCACTTACCCCTAAACACCCCGAACCCCCAAACCGCACTCCCTAAATCCAGAACCCGAGCACAACCCTGAAGCCTCTCAGTCCTATACCCTAAACCCTAAGCCCTCAGCCCTAAGCCCTAAACCCTAGGAGCCGCCACACTCCACAGCGCCGGAGTTGCCAGTGGCGAGACGCTGCAGGCGACAACTCTATATGGGGGTTTACGAAAATAAGGGACCCCAAGGTAGCAGGACCCCCCCCCCCCCCCCCCCAATTACGCCTAATGTCAGAAACCCCCATATATAATTAGGCCCTGTCAGCAGGCCCTTGTAACGTTTTGCTCTTGCCCTCATTGGGTTTGAGAATAAACCCTAAACCAGAGACCATGCTTTGTTTTTGGAATGTTGTCCGACGGTTTTGAGGGCCATCCTAGCAAGCCTGGACCCCTCAGCCCTGCGACCCCCCCCCCCCTACCCCCCTTGAGGGCCGTTTAGGGTTTAGGGTTTAGGGTTTAGGGTTTAGGCTTTAGGGTTTAGGGTTTAGTAGGGTTTAGGGTTTAGAGGCCAAGAGAGCCCTGAGGTCATATACAACAATGCAACGGTCATGGGTCTAGAATCCCCAAAAAACAAACAGCCTGTGACCCGATACAACCTAAACCCCACAGCCTGAAAGACCACGTTTGTGCAGGTTGGCTTTCTACGGCTAGACGTCCAAGCCCAAAGCCCAAAGCCCAAAGCCCAAAGCCCAAAGCCCAAAGCCCAAAGCCCAAAGCCCAAAGCCCAAAGCCCAAAGCCCAAAGCCCAAAGCCCAAAGCCCAAAGCCTAAAGCCTAAAGCCTAAAACCCCAAACCCGAGACCCTAAGCCCTAAACCCTAAACCCTACGCCCTAAACCCTAAACCCGAAACCCTAAACCCTAAACCTTAAACCCTAAACCCTAAACCCTAAACCCTAAACCCTAAACCTGCAAGAAGCAAGCAAGCGATCTCCAGGCCTTGGCACGGCGTTCCAGGTGCCTTGGCGTGAGGGTTTGGGGTTCGGGTTTGGGGTTTAGGGTTTAGGGTTTAGGGTTCAGGGTTCAGGGTTCAGGGTTTAGGGGGTTTAGGGTTTAGGGCTTAGGGCTAGGGTTTAGGGTGTAGGGTTGAGGGTTTAGGGTTTGGCGTCTAGGGTCAGGGCTTATACACCCTAAGTATCCTTAAGCCCTAAAGGCCCTAAACCCTTGAAGCCACAGAAGTGCTTTAGAGCTTAGGGTGCAAGACTCGCGGCAAGTTTTCTTGAGCCTCGGGCCGAAACAGCCAGCCAGCGACCCCGAACCCCGAACCGTGTAAACCCAGTCAACCCTAACCCGAAACGACCTAAACTCCCTGAACCCCCTCTAAACTCCCTCGCCTAAACCCCTTTTAGGGTTTCAGAGGTTTAGGGTTTAGGGGAACCCTGAACCCTAAACCCTAAACCCTTTTTGGGGTCGGGGTTTTAGGGTCATGCGCAGAGGCTCTTTGCTACGCGCCGGGCCGTCGCCCTCCTCTGCCCAGAGGGCTCGGTCTGCTGCTGGGGCATGGCACACTACGGCGCCTCGTGAGGTTTAGGGTTTATAGGATTTAGGGTTTAGGGTTTAGGGTTTAGGGCTTCGGGAGCTTCTGGCGCAGGGTAGATGATCTGGTGAGGGAGAAGTTTCTATTTAGGGGGGGGGGGGGGGATACCCGAAGTTAGGGTTAGGGTTTAGCGTTTAGGGTTTAGGGTTTAGGGTTAAGGGGGGGGGGGATTCCAGAAGTTAGGGTACCTAGAGGGATTGCGCTCTACTTGGGGTATATAGGAGTGGGAATATTCCATTTTGGGTATATTAGAGTTCGTTTGTTTGAATGCATTTACTGGCAAGTCATCTTGTGACACCCTTGGGGTTGAGGCAGAGAGAAGGATACGTCAACCGTCGTATCATGCAGTCCTACACCCTAAACCCTATACCCTAAACCCTAAACCCTAAACCCTAAGCCCTAAGCCCTAAACCACAATGCAACACGGTTTTCCTGTCCTAGTCTAAGCTAAAGGGACCTGTGGGCTCATACTTCAGCACCCTTTAGAGAAGGCAGGGGACCAAACTAAGGGACCAGGCTATACTAGGGCTCAGGGCCTTAAGTTCGACCTTATGAAGGGCCCCAAAACAGGTGTGGTCAAAAAAATAATAAAGTTCAGAACCCGAAAGCCTAAAGCCTAAAGCCTAAAGCATAAACCCCCTCAGGTGGCGACAGCCGCCGGGTCCAGGAACATCTCCGAAACGTGCAGCAGACGCGCCCTTAGCACCCGCCTTGGGCTTTCGGCGGTTTAGGGTTTAGGGTTTAGGGTTTAGGGTTTAGGGTTTAGGGTTTAGGGTTTAGGGTTTAGGGTTTAGGGTTTAGGGTTTAGGGTTTAGGGTCCCCAGGGGTTTGGGAGTTTAGAGCTTAGGGCTCAGGCCTTTAGGGCTTGGTGGGCTTTTGGCTTAGGTTGGGATACTCCTCCTTTTAACAGTCCTTGATAGGGAGCATGGTGCCCCCGATTATGATCCCTATTAGGGACTGTTGGTATGAGGGGGAGCATCCCAAAGTTGAAGGGTTTAGGGTTTAGGGTTTAGGGTTTAGGGTCTTGCGGGTTCAAGGTTTTGGGGCTGGGGCTTTAGGGGTTCCAGGTTTCTAGGCTTTGAAGGGTTCCCGAGACCGCCTGCAGAACCCAAAACTTATGAACACTTAGCGTTCCCGATTGAAATCCCTGAAAGGAAATGGGGGGTTTACGAAAATAGGGGAGCCCCAATATAGATCCCAAGATAGTAGGATCCCCTTATAAGAAGGACCCTAATCAGGCACCCCCAATTTCGGAACCCCTTGGGGTTGGAACTCTAGCCCTAGAAAGACCACGGGTCACAGGCTTGTGTTTTTTGAAGGTTCAATCCAAAACCCTAGCTTTCAACCTGAAACCCTAAACCCTAAACCCTGAAACCCCGTAAGGCTTGGACCCTGAAACCTGAAACCCGAAACCCGAAACCCTAAACCCTAATTCCTAAACCCTAAACCCTAAACCCTGAACCCGGTCCTCTGCGAAAGGATCGCTGCCTCGGGCGGCGCCTTCGCCGCGCTCCGCGGCGACGGCTCAGTCATCACTTGGGGAGCACGGGACTGCACCCCGGTTTGGGTTTAGGGTTTAGGGTTTAGGGTTTAGGGTTTAGGGTTTAGGGTTTAGGGTTTAGGGTTTAGGGTTTAGTGTTTAGGGTTTTTAGAGGTTGTAGGGGTTGGAGGGTTTAGGGTTTTAGGGTGTTAGGGTTTTTAGGGTTTAGAGTTCAGGGTTGGTTTGGGGTTTTGGGTTTAGGGTTTTAGGGCGTTAGGGTGTTTAGGGTTTTAGGGTTTAGGGTGAAAGGTTTAGGGTTTCAGGGTTTTAGGCTGTTAGGGTTGTCAGGGTTTTAGGGTGAAAGGTTTAGGGTTTCAGGGTTTTAGGGTGTTAGGGTTGTCAGGGTTTTAGGGTTTAGGGTGAAAGGTTTAGGGTTTCAGGCTTTTAGGATGTCAGGGTTTAGGGTGAAGGGTTTTAAGGCGTAGGGTTTCGGGTTCAGGGGATTAGGGTTTGGGGTTCGGGGTTTAGGGCCTTTTGGGGGGGGGGGGGGGGGGTGGGGTGAACTGACCCCCAAGCCCAATTTCTAGGACTTTCGGGCTTTCGTGTTTTTCGGGTTCAGGGTACGACCACAGTACGCCGGGCACCACCAAGGCGGCGGCGACAGCAGCCGCGTTTCGGAGCCTCGGCGGCCGATCGCACTGCAGCGAAGTTGCTTCGTGGGCGGCTTCGGGCTTTAGGCTTTTTTGGATTTAACGTTTTTTGTTTTTTTTTGTTTTCCCGTGGTTGGGGCTTTCTGGTCTAAGGGTTTTGAAAGGTTTTTTTGCTTAAGGGTTTGGGTTTTTTTCGTGTTTTTGGGTTCTAGGGTTTCAGGGCTTTGGAGTTTTGGAGCTTGAGGCGTAAGGGTTTGCGCGGTTAGGCGTGAGGGAGGGTTTAGGGTTCATGGTTTAGGGTTTAGGGTTTAGGGTTTGGGGGAACTTTTGGGACTGAGGATGGGTGCAAGGGTTGCGAGGTTGATTCGGAGGCAATGGAGCCTTGAAGTATGGAAACGCTGAACCGTCAACCCTCAACCCTACACCACCGAGACAACCTAAAACCTCTAATTGCACAGCTTCACGGCTTCCAGTGGTTCAGAGTACTGCCTCTTTTCCCTTCCTGGTACACGAGCTTAAGCACTTGCATAATACGCAACGCCCCCCCCCCCCCCCTCAACCCTAAACCCTATCAACCCCCAAGCCCCTAAACCCTCCAAACCCTGTTGACCCAAATCTCACCCCAAAGCCCTCAACCCTAATCCCTAAACCCTAATCCCTAATCCCTAAACCCTAAACCCTAAACTCTTAACCCTAAACCCCAAACCCCAAGTCACTCCAAGCCGGCGATGCCCCCTGAGGAGCAGCTCCAGGGCGTGCAGGCTCTGGCGGCCTCCACAGGGGCCTTCGCGGCGGCGCCCTGGGCTGCAGAAGTGGAGCTCCCCCAACCTCGGCATACCCAACGCTACTACGAAAAACCCTAACCCTAAACCCTAAACCCTAAAACCCAAACCCCAAACCCTGAAGCCTAAGCCCTAAGCCCTAAGCCTTGAGCCCTAAGCCCTAAGCCCTAAGCCCTAAGCCCTAAGCCCTAAGCCCTAAGCCCTAAGCCCTAAGCCCTAAGCCCTAAGCCCTAAGCCCTAAGCCCTAAGCCCTAAGCCCTAAGCCCGATAAAGGTCTATGGGCCATAAAATCGCTGTGAGACACGGGGGTCTCCAACCCGAAAGGCCAGCCGTAAAGGCCTAGACCCTATAAACCCTAAACCCTATGTTAACCCTAAACCCTAACACCCCCCCTCCATGTACTCCAATATAGCTATAATGGGAGTAGTTAATGTTGCGGGGAGGGAGGGTTTAATATTAGCGGGGAGGGGATTAACGACCGTCAAGGCCCCTTAAGCCTCCTAACCCAAACGCGCTCGAAAGCTGACGCTTTTTGGTTTCTGTGTTGGAGGAGTTGGAAACCGGACCCCGAAACCCTAAACCCCAAACCCTAAACCCCAAGCCCTATACCCTAAACCCTAAACCCTAAACTCAAAACCTAAGCCCTAAACCCTAAACCTACCCTAATCCCTCAGGTTCGCTGTTCAGGGACTTCTTTTTGGGCTTTGGGATCTGCGTCGCGGAATCCAAGCCCATGGAACGTCGCAGGGAGTAAGTTTAGGGCTTATAGGGTAGAAGGTAGTAGGTAGAAGGGCTTGTATATATGTATATATATATATACTATACAAAAAAACAAATAAACTAATATAAATAAATAAATGTATATATATATTATATGTATAGATAGATACATACATATGGTTGAAGGCAGCAGGTGGTAAGTTTTGGGCTCTTGGAGTCGGGCCTTTCTTTTGCCGGTGTCAGGTTTTGGGGCTCCTTGCGGCTCTCAGGTGCTTGTCGGCGGCTCCGTGGTCACCTGGGGCGATGCCCGCTACGGCGGGGACAGCGCGGCCGTACAGGGCCAGCTCTGCCACGTGTGCCAGGTGCGCTGGGTTTAGGGTTTAGGGTTTAGGGTTTAGGGTTTAGGGTTTAGGGTTTAGGGTTTAGGGTTTGGGTGTAGGAAAGTTCATCCCAACAGCCCGTGTCTGCGTCCCCCAAGCACCTGCTATTTCCGGGGCGCTCGCCCTTCTTCCCAGCATGTTGCTTAAGAACCACAAAAAAATATGTACCCTTGTTACCCTTACAGGAAAAGATCTTGTTTTTTTTTTTGTTTTAACTTGGGGGTGGGTTTAGGGTTTAGGGTTTAGGGCTTAGGGTTTAGGGTTTAGGGTTTAGGGTTTCGCAAGTTCTTGGCAGATTTATGGGGCATCAGACTTTAGGCCTCACTCAACCTGCAGTTGAAATGAAATGACTCGGCCATCACCCCCCATGTAGACGCCATCGGAAAACTTAAACCCTAAACCCTAAACCCTAAACCTGATACTCTCAGCCCTTAATCGGGATTCTGATATGGGGGGGGGGTACTAGAATCCTACTAGAATCCTACTAAGGACTGTTCGTATAAGCGGAAACATCCCAAGCCTCAGTGCCTAAAGGAACCTGAAGCCCTAAAGCCCTATCTGAAACCTCCAGCTCGGAAGGCCTCAACCCCCCAAAAACCCCAACTTGGGTTTAGGGTTTAGGGTTTAGGGTTTAGGGTTTAGGGTTTAGGGTTTAGGGTTTAGGGTTTAGGGTTTAGGGATAGCCTTTAGCATTTTTTCGGGAGAAAGAAGAGCCACCCCCACCCCCCCTCCCCCCACTTTCAAAACTTAAAGCTTAACTGTTTTTGTTTCCCCCAGAGGACCCAGCCACTAAAAGCCTTGTTCGCCCCAAGCCTTTAGGGTTTAGGGCTTAGGGTGTAGGGTTTCGGGCTTAGCTTAGGGTTTAGGGTATTTCGGGTTTCGGGTTTCGGGTTTGGGGTTTTGGGTTTTGGGTTTGGGGTTTTGGGTTTTGGGTTTAGGGTTTCGGGTTTAGGGTAGGGTTTAGGGTTTAGGGTTTAGGGTTAAGGGTTTAGGGTTTAGGGTTTAGGGTTTAGGGTTTAGGGTTTAGGGTTTAGGGTTTAGGGTTTAGGGTTTAGGGTTTAGGGTTTAGGGTTTAGGGGGTTCGGAAGGACCCAAACCCTTCGTGCGGAGAGGTGCGCGCGTCGCAGCGCGCCTTTGCGGCCATCTTGGCCGGCTGCCCAAACAGCGGGGCTTTGGGGGGTTTAGGGTTTAGGGTTTAGGGGTTTGTGGGCTTCAAAGAGCATTTGCTGGCTCCCACAGGGCTGACGCCCGAGTCTCAATCGCCTATCGTCCGGGAGATGATCACGTCCCTCTCAACGAAGCATTCGTGACGACTATTTTTGCTTAAGAACCCGCGCAAAACATGGGTTTAGGGCTGCAAGTACCATTTTGCTTAAGAACCCCCCCCCCCCCTCCCAAAAAACAAACGAGACACTAATCCCCATATTGTCCTTCTAGGAAGAATCTGTTGTGGTTTTTGTGGGGCTCTTAAGCAATTAATAGAACATCGGGTCCTCAGCCATAGAAAAACCCAAAAGCCCCACAGACGCTGAGTTTCCCACACAGGTCGTCTTTTTTTTTTTTTTTGGGGGGGGGGGGGGGGTTGGGGGGGGTTCACCTTAAACCCTAAACCCTAAACCATCTAGGATGTGGGGGTTTTGTGGTGCAAGGTCTTGTTCTGTAGTTTTCGAAAGACTTCTGTTAATCTTGCTTCATGTAGAACCCAAGGGACTGTGAACAGCATGTTTTTGTGATTCTGCTTTTTGAGGGACACCCTAACGCCAAGCCCTAAACCCTACACTGGAGTCCCACCCAAACCCACATGGGAGGTTCTCTTAAGGCCCCTTTTGGGGTTACTATTCTAAGGCGACCCCTAAGAGGATACCCAAAATGGGACCACACAATTCAAAAACGCCCCACAAGAAGCCCAAGGCGGATGGTTCAGTCGTCACCTGGGGCAGTGCGCAGTGTGGCGGCGACAGCACCTCGGTGCAGGCCAGTTAGGGTTGAGGGTTTAGGGTTTAGGGTTTAGGGTTTAGGGTTTAGGGTATAGGGTCTAGGGTTTAGGGTCTAGGGTTTAGGGTTTAGGGTTTAGGGTTTAGGGTTAGCCGTTCAGGGCTAAGGGGGTTGTAAAGGCCACTGAGGGTGATTCACAAGTATTAGGGCGCGAGGGTTAGAGAGACCTTGAAACCTAAAACCTGAGCTGAAAATACAAGCTTTCAAAATCCTGGAGTCTACAAGCTCCCAGGGCCATCCTAGCCCTAAACCCTAAACCCTAAACCCTAAACCCTAAACCCTAAACCCTAAACCCTAAACCCTAAACCCTAAACAAGCCCTGTAAAGTCCCTGGAGCTCAGCTCCCCCAGGAGCAGCTCCGAGAAGTCCGGGATGTCCGGGCCTCCGGCGACCCTTTTGGCGGGGCCTTTGCAGCCCTGAGGGCCGGTGGCCTGGCGTTGGGGTTTAGGGTTTAGGGTTTAGGGTTTAGGGTTTAGGGTTTAGGGTTTAGGGTTTGGGGTTTAGGGTTTGGGGTTTAGGGTTTAGGGTTTAGGGTTTGGGGTTTGGGGTTTGGGGTTTAGGGTTTAGGGTTTGTGGTTTGGGGTTTGGGGTTTGGGGTTTGGGGTTTGGGATTTGGGGTTTGGGGTTTGGGGTTTGGGGTTTAGGGTTTAGGGTGCCCCAGGCGTTCAGGTTTTTTGGGTTTCATAGGGTGTTATGAGGTTTTGTGGGCACGCATGGGGTTTACAGGCGTGTAGGGTTTTATCGGGCTCATGGGGCTGAAAAGGTTTTGAGGTTGATAGGGCTTTGAGGGCCTACAGGTTTATCACCCCAACTGTAAACCCTAAACCGTAACCGGAAACTCTGAAGCCTAAACCCTCAATCCCTGAACCCTAAACCCTAAGCCCTAAACCCTAAGCCCTGAGCCCAACATTTTTCTCTAGCCCCTTTAGCTCTCGAAGGCTGACCTATAAACCCTGAGCATGATGGTCGAGGACAAAAGTGCGGGATGTTTTGTTTCGCTTCGGTTTCCTTTCGGTAGTGTAGGGTATAGGGCTTAGGGTTTAAGGTTTTGGGTTTAGGGTGTAGGGTTAGGAGTTGTTGCCTTAGAGTTGAGGGTTGACACAAACCTTACCATGACTCATAACTTCCATTCTTTCCTCTTTCCTGAGAAATATCACCTTTTTTCATTGATAATTTACCTTCAACGGGTTTGAAGCACAACTCAGCAAAATCAGGGCTTCAACTTCTTTTTTGCTTAAGAACCCCAAAAAAACAAACGACGGAAATCCGACAATACCCTTATAAGGGGAATAATTCCCCACCCTCGGTGTGGGGGTGTTAGATGTTAAACTCAACTCTTCTCCTCGCCCGGAGCTCTTCTCCTCGCCCGGTCTACTTCTCGCTCATCCCTGGAGTGCCCAACCCTAGAGTGTCCCTGGAGTGCCCAACCCCAGAGTATCTCTACCCAGAGAGGGTGGGAATGTTCGAAGTAAAATAATGTTTGTTTTTGGGGGGAGATTCGTAAGCAACTAGTAGTCAATCGGGACCCTCGTTTTGAACAGTCCCTCAATTTTAGGGTTGGGGTTGAAGTCGAGCTGTGGAGCTCAACCCTAAACCCTAAACCCTAAACCCTAAACCCTAAACCCTAAACCCTAAACCCTAAACCCTAAAGCCTAAAGCCTAAAGCCTAAAGCCTAAACCCTAAGCCCTAAGCCCTAAGCCCTAAAACTACCCTAAACCCTAAACCCTAAACCCTACCCAGATGGATCCGTCGTCACCTGGGGATGTGCCGGCCGGGGCGGAGACAGCGGGGCAGTCCGGGCGCAGCTGCGAGGTGTGCCCTCGGCTGAACTCTTTGCCAGTCGTACTTGGAGGTTCAAGGGGTTTTAGGATTTAGGCTTTAGGGTAACCCCAAATATAAGTGCAACTATCACCCACTTATAAGCCCCTTAAGTACCCTAATGGGGTTATGATTGGGTTAGAAGTACAGTTATGACTGGGTTGCTAAGTACCCTGAGCCTTATGAGTTGGGATGCTCCCCCTTATACGAACAAGTCCCCAATAGGGATGATTCTCGTACCCCCCCTACTATAATCCCTATTAAGGGTTTAGGGTTTAGGGTTTAGGGTTTAGGGTTTAGGGTTTAGGGTTTAGGGTTTAGTGTTCGCCCTCCTGAAGCCCTAAGCCTGAATCTTCGCCTGCGGTAGGGCTGGCTAACCTCCCTTTAGCCCTGGATGAGAAGGGCTCATAGGGTCAACCGAGGGCCGATGAAGAGGCGCCAAGGTGAGGCAAGTCCCAACCCCAAAGCCCCAAACCCTTAAAATCCTTCAACTCCAAACCCTAACTCCCCGAATCCCTGCGTCTCCAGGTGCGTGAAATCTGTTCCTCCGGCGCGGCCTTCGCGGCAATTCTCGCAGCCGGGCTGCTCTGGGGCCGTGTCAAAGCACTTGGGTATTTACTCCTCAAGACCCTTCTTGCGCTGGGGGGGGAAAAAAGCAGTTTAGCCGAAATTGTTCCTGCTCTTTCTCATCGCGCTGGAGGCCCCCCAGAGTGACAGTCATTTCCCTTTTCCTGGGCTTATTGGCGACCTTCTAAACCCTACAGAAAGGGTTTAGGGTTTAGGGTTTAGGGTTTAGGGTTTAGGGTACCCTACAGAAAGGGTTTAGGGTCCTGGGGTTAAAGGTACGCTGCTTGGATTCTGAAACGCAGGCAGACGGCTCGGTGGTCACCTGGGGCCATCCCGCGACCGGCGGGGAGAGCTCGCATGTGCAGGCGGGATCTGCAGAGTGACCATGCTTGAGAGTTCTGCTGGGACGTCTAGTCTTCAAGGCATTTAGTTAACAAAAAAAACTAAACCCGAACTCCTAAACCCTAAACCCCCCTAATTAACCCCAAAAAGGCCCTAACCCCCTACCCAAAACCCCATTCGGCTCGAGGGTTTGGGGTTTGGGGTTTAGCGTTTAGGGGTCAGGATGCATAGTATTTTGTTTAGAGTTTAGGGTTTAGGGTTTAGGGTTTAGGGTTCAGGGTTTAGGGTGTAGGGTTTAGGGTTTAGGGTTTAGGGTTTACTTGTGATTTTAAGGTTAGGGTGTATGGTTGAGAAGTCGTTGGCTTGGGCAATTAGGGTCTAAGTTTGGGCTTAGTTAACCTCGGGTGTGGGGTTTAGTGTTTAGGGTTTAGGGTTCAGGGTTTCAAACTGGGGGTTTCCGACATTAAAAATACCTTGTTTGGGGTCCTTGGTATGAGGGAATCCGACTGTTTCGGGGTCCCTGATTTTCGTAAGCCCCCAACTGGCCCATTCCGAGAAACTGCGGTGAGGAGAAGCTGAAGGATGTGCAGGCAATCGAGGCACCGCGAGGGTTTAGGGTTTAGGGTTTAGGGTTTAGGGTTTGGGGTCTAAGGGGGGTAGAAGGGTTTCGGCGCTGGAGCTTGCTACTCAGGGCTCTGGGACAAGAATCCGAACCCTAAGCCCCCTAAACCCCCCAAATCCCGAATACTGAACACCCCACAGGTCCTGAACCCCAAGCCCCAAACCCCCAAAAGTGCCCCAAAATTCCCCAACATCCCAAATACCCCAAAAACCCTAAACCCCTAAACCCTTAAACGCCTAAACCCGAACAAGCAGAGCTTTAGGATCCTGGCAGGTCTCTGAGGGTAGGGACTTGGAGCCCAAATCATGACCATGATCCCCTGATTAGGGTTGTAGGGTTTCGGATTGCGGGTTCAAGTCATCACCATGTTCTCTATAGTACTCCTGTCACATCCCTAACCGTAAGCCCTGAGCCCTAAGCCCTAAGCCGTAAACCCTGAACCCTCAACCCTAAACCATAAACCCTAAACCCTGACCTGGATGGATACCAGATGCGGACATTGTGTTCTGACCCTAAGCCCTGAAAACTGAACAGATGTCCCTGAAAGGGTTTAGGATTCAGGGTTTAGGGTTTAGGGTTTCCTAAAGCCCTCTAAGCCCTAGGCCCCCGAAGTTGTGTAAGGTCTAAGGGAAGTTTCACGGACTCTGAATATGGGACACTTACCTGCTGCAAAGGGTTCGGAAATATGGGCCCTTGGGTTTTATGGGGTATTACCCAGCGGAACCCCTAAGTAAGGGTCCGCACTAAGGCACCATGTACCCTAAGCCCTAAACCCTGAACTTTAAACCCTAAAGCCTAGAACCTAAAGCCTAAACCATAAGATAAGCTCGCAGGGAGTCGTGTATAGGATTAGGGTTTCGGAGAGAAATGGCTGCACTCATCCTCCACGCACGTGGTTCGGCGCTGTCTGCATCAAGGCGTCAGAAAGACGGGTGCTGGAGAGCGAGCTTGAAACAAACCCCTAATTCGCGGGGCGCACAGTTGAGTCGTTGTCTGCTGAAGAGGTCGCGCAGATTTTCCAGCAGGGGCACGTGGAGAAAGGGCTGTACCTGTGGAACTACGCGATGACAAGCTGTGGTCAGTTTGATGGCTTTAAGTAGGCCTTTAGAGTTTTGGTGTCAGTTTTTTTGGGTTCAAGGTTCAGGGTTTGGGGTTTAGGAATTTGGATTTGGGGTGTTGGGGTTTTAGGTTTATGGATTCAGGCCCTGGCCTAAACCCTAAACCCTAAACCCTAAACCCTAAACCCTAAACCCTAAACCCTAAACCCTAAACCCTAAACCCCTAAACCCTAAACCCTTTAAGGTTTAGGGTTCGAGCTTTGGGGGTTTCGCAGGCGTCGCACAAGGCCTTTGCGGCTCTTCTTTGCGATGGCTCCGTCCCTTGGACTGCTGAGGCATTTCACGCCCCCAATCCCAGGCCCTCCTAGCCTATAGGGTTTAGGTTTTAAGGTTTAGAGTGTAGGGTTTTGGGGTTCAGGGTTTAGGCTCGTAGGGTTTAGGGTCTTAGGGTTTAGAGTTTAGGGTTTTGGTGTTCAGGGTTTAGGGTCCTAGGGTTTTGGGGTTGTAGGGTTTTACGGTTTGGGGTTTAGGGTTTAGGTTTTAGGGTTTAGGGTTTAGGGCGAGGGCCTCCCCCAGTTCCCGAGGTGGTCACCTGGGGATGTGCGGACTCCGGGGGCGACTGCAGCGGCGTGCAGGGCGAGCTGCAGGGGGTGCAGCAGAGACTTGCGTTGGTTTAGGGTTTAGGGTTTAGGGTTTAGGGTTTAGGGTTTAGGGTTTAGGATTTAATTTAGTGTTGAGGGTTTAGGGTTTAGGGTTTAGGCCCTTAAGTGACATTGTCTATTTGCATGGTGTGCAGAAGAGACTTGGTTGGGGACCGTTGGTTGGGGACCGTTGATGTCAGGAAGCCCCCCTTAGTCCCTTTCTAGGTCTTGAGCAGTATTTTGCAATGTTTATGGGTATGGTCGAATCCATTCGGTTCTCCTTTTATAGGTTGAGCTTATACCCTTATATTAGCAATACTGCCTACCGCGCTGCGCTGAGAAGCCTAAGCTGGCTCGTGCTCGGGCGCGTCTCTGGCTCAGCCCTAAACCCTAAACCCTAAACCCTAAACCCTAAACCCTAAACCCTAAACCCTAAACCCTAAACCCTAAACCCTAAACCCTAAACCCTAAACCATAACCTGGCTCAGGATTTGTGCCTCGGCTGCAGCTTTCGCCGCTTTGCGCTCGGACGGATCTGTTGTGACGCCGCTTGGCTTCAGCTCGGCTTTGCCTTCACCTACTTGGAGGTTCAGGGTACTTAGCAACCCAATTAAAACTTGGGGGCTGCTCTACTGAAACTTTACATCTTTAGCCTTTTTGGGTCTATTGGGTTTCTTAAGAAGGCAGCCAAACATTAAACAATTGCTAGCTACCCCCTTTAGAACCCTAATGGGGTTATAATTGAGTGCAGTTGTAATTGGGTTGCTAAGTACCATGAACCTCTAAGTAAAACCGCAAGCACGCCAAGAACCATATGTAAAGGGTTCTGAAGTATGGCCCTTGGGTTTATAGGGTATGCAAGTGGCATGTAAGGGGTCCCCTTTTAAGGGCCCATACTACGGGCCCCTGTAACTACCCTAAGGGAAACCTAAAATGTCAAGCCTTCCATCCTACTGGCATGTTTTCGTGTCGAGTTGTACAGCAATCTATTCTGTAGGCTTAGTCAGAGCCCAAGCCCTAGAGTCCTAGAGCCCGCAATTTGTGTCTACTCCAGCGAGACCCCTCACTCCCGTTTTATAGGTTCAGTTAAGAAGCCCAACAAGCCAACAAAAAGGGTCCCCTGCCTATGCCGTTTCTCAGGTTGCTGTGGCACTTGCATCGTTGTGGTTGCTAGGGTTCCTGGGCGAAGCTCATTCCTTTTCATGGAGAGAGGTTCCACGCAGCTGACCGACTACGCCCTTTGAGACCCCTGATTCTAAGGTTCAAAACCCCAAAACCCTATAAACCCCAAACTGGACACCCCATAACCCTAAAAGTCTATAACCCTGAAAGCCTATAGCCCTGTAGCCCAAGTACCTTGCAACCCTACAACCCTATCACCCTACACGCCCTCACTAGCTCACGCCGCTCAGAAGTCTATAGAACTGTCAGCTGACATGCAGGTGGGGCGATGCACGCTATGGGGGCGACAGCAGCGGCGTGCAGCCGCATCTGTCGCATGGCAAGACAGAGGACGAAAGACCTGTGGGGATTTTGGGTTTTATAGCCTGGCTCTAGGGATTTAGGGGAATGAGGCGCATAGGGCTTAGGGATTGCAGGCTCCGGGTTTCTAGGGCTCGGAGTTTGGGCTACTTTGGGGCTGTGTGCGGATTGGAGATTTTCGGGTGGAGGCAGTTTGGCATTACCGGTAGAGTTTGGAATGTTAACTTTCAACATTCCTTCCGTGTGCTTGGTGAAATGAGCGGGACTCACCCTTGAAACGTCGAGCCACTCTAGTCACCAGTCCTTTTTTGGAGCTCTCCTATAGGTCTGATGGCCGAGCTGCTTTGTAGCCCTAAGCCCTAAAGCCCCGAACCCCACACTCTATGGATCCGTGTGAAATCGTGAGGCGCGCGACAGGGCCCATGTCAAGGCTCCGGATTTCAGAGTCCAGACTCCAAGCCCTGAACCTGAACCCTGGCGCCTCGCCAAACGCTAAACCCCAAACCCCACATCCTAAGATCCCCCTAACATCCCCTGACATCCCTTATAGACATCCCCTAACACCCCCCTGACATACCTTATACATTACACCAGAACCTCATTCGTCGGCAAGGTGCAAGGCCTCGTCGGCAAGGCACCCGCCCCCCCTCACCACCTACAAAGGCAAGGTGCAAGGCAAGGCAAGGCACCCTAAACCGTAAACCCTAAACCCTAAACCCTAAACCGTGGCAAGGCACATGGCAAGGCACAGGGGTTCTTCAGTGCCTCTTCGAGCTTCTGAGGAAGGTATGGAGCCTAAGGTGTATGGATTGAGAGACCCTTATATGATATTTTCCTACTGTTGTGGCATCCAAAGGGTGGGTGGGCAGATATTCAAACCGAAGTCGCGAGCTGAACTAGTAAATGCTTGAACTTGAGATGTTGAACCCTAAGCCCTAAACCCCAACTCCCAAACCCTAGACCCTAAACCCTAAACCCCAAACCCCAAACCCCAAACCCTACCACTGAGGGTCCAGATCCAGCAGCTCTGCGCCGCGAGCGACCTCTACGGCGGGGCCTTTGCGGCGCTGGGCGCGCGGGGCGCCGTGGTGTCCTGGGGCCCCTCGGATCCCAGAGGGTGTAGGGTTTAGGGTTTCGGGTTTGGGGTTTAGGGTCTGGGGTAGGGGGTTTAGGGTTTAGGGTTTTGGGTTTAGGGTCTGGGGTTTGGGGGTTTGGGGTTGAGGGGTTGAGGGTTTAGGTGGGGTTAAGGGTTAAGGCTTAGGGTGTAGGGTGTGGGGTTCAGGGTTTCGGGTTTAGGGTTTAGCCTTAGGGTGACAGTGACCGTGGCTGCCACCAATTCACCCCAGGGTGGTCAGATCGCCGAACGCAGAAATTGCAGTTAGCATTGCCATGGATGGGTTTAGGGTTTAGGGTTTAGGGTTTAGGGTTTGGGTTTAGGGTTTAGGGTTTAGGGTTTAGGGAGGGCAAGGCGGACGGTTCCTGGCGGTTCGTTTCAAAGGTTCAGGGCCTTTTCTACGCCCCTAAGCTGCATGACCATGGCGGTCCCAACTTTGGGACACTTATCTTCACCCGTCTAGAAACCAAGCGGGTTTAGGGTTTAGGGTTTAGGGTGATTCTTCTTCCTTCGGGGGTGCTCTCTTGCATCCAGAAAAGCGGTATCTGTAAAGGATCCGAATGTCGAAGGGCCCCTGCAAGAAAAAGGGTTGTGGCAACTAGACCGCTAATCCCTAAACCCTAAACCCTAAACCCCAAACCCTAAACCCTAAACCTTAAACCCAAAAACCCAAAACCCTAAACCCAAAACCCAAAAACCCTAAACCCGAAGCTGGACTCGCGGTACTTCTTGTGCTTTGCCTCTGGTTTCCGGTTGCTGTGCCACTGCTTCTAAGTTTCCAGGTGCTGGGGTAGACTTGGAATAAAGTCTACATAGGGCTTGGGGTCAAGGACTCCCTATATGTACGAAAACAGGGGACCCCCAGTCTAGGTGCCCAAATACTAACCGGCTTAGAGACCAGTCCAACCGCAGCACCCATCACACCTCAAAATCACCCCTTTAAGACAGCACCCATCACACCTTGAGACCCATCCCAACCTTTAAGACAGCACCCATCACACCTCAAAATCACCCCTTTAAGACAGCACCCATCCCCTATTGACCCTAGAGTTAGTACTAAATATACTACCTTAGGACCAGTCCAACCGCAGCACCCATCACACCTTGAGACCCTAACTCTCATATCTTGGTCTAACCGTTCACACCCTTGGAATCGCATGCCAGGTTAACCGTGTAAAAGCCCATCTAATATAATACTAAAGGCGTGAACAAAGGCAAGAAACGCGCGCTTTGATCACGATTTTATTATTATATTGGTCTTTTAGTACCTTTTGGACATCTTATTACAACCAAAACACCCATTAAAACTACTGACTCACCCTCGGGCGGCAACCATAACCTTAATGACAGGGGCGTTCACACCTCTCCCTCGATCACCAGAACTTATATTGTATTACTATGAAGTGAACACGCGGTTATAATATTATTACAAGGAGAATTGACAACAGAAAGGAGCTTGCGGGTATGAGCGCTGCATCTTGGGGAGGGTTAAGCCCTAAACCCGAAACCCGAAACCCTAAACCCTCCCTAACCCTTGTAGGGGAATAGGGGAACCTGGAGCTCAGGAAATGCAGATTACGGTGCCGGCTGCGGGGTCTTGCGCTGTGCTGGGGAACAAAACAAGACCGACGCTGGCGAAGCCCGTGGCTCCTGCAGATTCTACCTATATCCTATATCATATATCATATATATTATACACATATATGTATATTACTATATATATATATATATATCCATGTATCATACATATATATGTTTACAATTCAGTATAGATATAAAGCCTATAAACCATATAACGCTTATGCATATGTACACATATGTATTTATACATATATGAGCCTTTTAGCCCATATAAACCCATGTACGCCACAGTAAATGCTACAAACCCAGAAGATTGTCAGGGTCTAATCAGGGTTTAGGGGCTCCTAATCCCTTGGTGCCGAAGGAAAGTCGATGGCCCCAGAATTTAGGGCTTGGGGTTTAGGTTCAAGGTTGCGGGTTGAAGGTTTGTTGCAAGTCGTGGGCGTTAGCCACGAACCTGCTGCCATGCCACACCCTTCGCCTAAATAACCCCTTCCCCCTATACTCAAAAGCCTATAGAGCCTGCACCTCATTCCCACACCTTGATGGTCTCTAGTGGGAGCAAGGCCAAAGTCAGCGTCCGCAGTCTCTCCAAGCTGATGCAATGTAAGATCATTTTTAGGGGTTTGTAGGGTTTAGAGTTTAGAGAACGGGCCCGAATATTTAGCACTCTTTCCCCCAATTCGTGCTGGAGTTTGCAGAGATGTCGGCGACGTCTTACCCTAAACCCTATAAACCCTATAAACCCTATAAACCGTATAAGCCCTATAAACCCTATCAACCCTATACACCCTATAAACCCTACAAACCCTATAAACCCTTTAAACCCTACACACCCTATAAACCCTGTAAACCCTGGAAACCTACACCGCAGGCATGCGATGAGTTCGACGAGCCGTACCGCGAGGTGCTCTCCGTTCCCACCGGGCATTCAGGGCTAGGGGGGTTTAGGGTTTAGGGATTTCGGGTTTAGGGCTTTGGGTTTAGGGTACGACCCCTAACCCCATGGCACGCTGAGAGGTGGCGAAAGCCGTGGCTGAGCGCCAGGGAGTTACGCGACGGCCCTCGCTGCCGCCTGGCGGGCATGCTTCAGTAGCTGGTTGACCGGTTTCTGAGCTTTATGGTCCAGGTCTTCGGAAGGTATTTAGTGCTGTAGAGTTTCGGGGTCATATTTTGGTACTATGTTGCAGGTTTTAAGTTACCGTCCTGTTGTGCATGCTTCGTCTTCCGTGACTCTCTAGAGGCCTAGACCGAGAACCCTAGACATCAAACCCAAACCTCAGCAGAGCGCTTGAAGCAGATCCCTGGCGGTTGACTGCCCCCAGTAAGGTTCATGTGTTCAAGTCTACCCGCCCAGCACACATCCTCTAGTTATTGCCAGAGAGAGCCTGTGTAATTAAGGGGCTTCCGGCCTCCTGCTCATAATGCAGATGCGAGATTGTGTCCTCAGCTTGCGACTTTTTTGGTGCAAGATTAAATTTAGAGAATATGTATATATATTTATGTATATATATATATAAATACATGTACACCTTTCATTGGCAAGAGAGAAGCACCTGTTGAAAGAGGGCTGGGAATAACTTAGCCAAGCTGGAGCGAGCAGCTCGGCACGCTTGACGCCCGAGCGAGAGAACACGACTTACGACACCCTAAACCCCAGAACCCTCATCCCTAAACCCATCTACCTTAAACCCGAAACCCTAAACTGCATGGGAGTTCAGGTCGCGAGTTGTCATCGCGCGGATAGATCAGCGGCCGCCCCGGGTGCCCTTGGATCCGTGCACGGTGAGCAACTGTTGGTTCAGGGTTACGGCGAGAGTTTATGGCTTAAGGAAGTTTAAGATTTAGGAATTTCTCAATTGCTTTGGATTATTAACAGATGCGTAGACTTGCGTAAAACAAAGTGGATGTTGTTTTGGGTCTTCTGGCCACCTGTTGTTGTATTACTCTTGCGCAATCTTCCTTTTCGGGGTTTTTATGGAGTTGCAGCGGGGTTTCTTCAAGGCTCAGAAGGCCTTAACGGGTCATAGGTTGCGTAGTAGGGCCTCTGACTTAGATCATCACCCACCTCGAGCTTCCAAAGCCCCCTGGTCCCCTTCGTTTTTATCCCTCTGCTGCGTAACCTTGAGGACCAGATGATCCTAAGATTGGGGCCATCTACCCTCTACTACGAAAGTCGCGATTTAAAAATGCATTGGAGCATAAACCCTAAACCCTATACTATTATAGCTAGGCTCACACTGACTTTCAAGAAGTTCAGATCGTGATGCTGAGACAACCGGAGAGCCGCGCTGCAGCGGAGCGTGCTTGGCTCGTCTGTCACCTCGCGGACTTCTCTTGGAGCAGCTGGCTCAGGATGACATCATCGAGATGAGCGTCGGGACGACCTCATTGACCTCCAAAGGACAAGAGAGGGCAGGAGGAGCTTCGCGCCCTCTGCCTCTCGATCGTCGCGGCTGGCATGACCAAAAAGAAGAGAAGGACGAAGAGCATCTTGTATGAGCCACCAAGGCCAGGAAGACCGGAGCTGGATTGGCGTGTGCGATTATGGGCCGTAAGCCTTGAAGGGTTCGTTTGGTCCTCAAGGAACAACCCCAGCAAGCTTGGCAAGCGCACCGCTCTTGAGCAGCCCTACATGTAACCCTAAACCCACCCTAAGCCGTCATCATAACAGCTGGTTGCCGCCCAAGAATAAATGCAGGGCTTCGGGGGTTAAGTAGGGCTTCAAGTCTGAGGCCAGTATTATGGGTGCTTTCGAGGCGACGATTGCATGCGGGCATCTTTACCACTAACCCATCATCATCATCATCATCATCGCATTGTCGTCTGTCAGCTGGTTGATTAGCTCTACGCGCTTGCTACAATAATTTTACATGGCAGCGTACAGAGTGTTTGGGTTCGGCGGGGGGGGGGGGGGGCTGGGGGAGTTTGGGGCTTTGGGTATGTAGGGTTTCGTTGGCTTGGGGGGGGCTTCTTACCAAAGGCTTATGGTTTACGATTTTGGGTGCAGCTTGATGGTATCTACATACCGGGCACCTGTGACACTTGTGATGACAGAAAGCAGAAGAAGGACCCGCATGTCGGGAAGCTACCCAAGCTTGAGCCCTGCCTCAACTGCTAACGCCTGGCTTGGTGGTCTAGGGTGTGGGGTTTAGGGTTTAGGGTTTAGGGTTTAGGGTTTAGGGTTTAGAGTTTAGGGTTTAGGGTTTAGGGTTTAGGGTTTCGAGGCCTTGTCGGGTCTTACCCCAAGCCCCGAACCCCAACGGTCCGCTGACAGAAAGGTCTGAGAATGAGCACACCGAGCTCATCAAGGCCCCCCGGGTTTTGTCTGAGACCCAAAGCATCCAGTATCCCTACACCCTATACACCGTACAAATCCTGTAAACCCTACAAACCCGATACTCGCCATAAACCCTCTAAACCCTATAAACCCTAGAACCCCTAACCCTGAAGACCTCTAAACCCTCTAAACCCTCTAAACCCTCTAAACCCTCTAAACCCTCTAAACCCTCTAAACCCTTTAAACCCTCTAAACCCTAAACCCTAACCCTGAAGTCAGGGCACGCCCTGGCTCCGCTTCTTCCCCCGGGGTCCCCGGAAGCGGGCCGTGGACGTGGAGCTGCGCTCGGCCGGGGCCTCCCTGTTTTGGGGGGTTTAGGGTTTAGGGTTTAGGGTTTAGGGTTTAGGGTTTAGGGTTTAGGGTTTAGGGTTTAGGGTTTAGGGTTTGTTGAAGGAGGCCTCCATGTTTTTGGCTTTGAGTGGTTGGGGGGGGGGGGGGGGGATGAAGGTTTTAAGCTGCGGGTTTTACGGTAAGCCCTAAGCCCGAAACCCAGCTTAGGGTTTCAGGGTTTAGGGTTGGGATGTTCCCCCTTAACTGTCCTTACTAGGGCTTATAACGGGGGGGTACTATAATCCCGATGAAGGACTGCTAGTATAAGGGGGAACATCCCAAGTCTAGGGTGTTAGGGTAGTTTTTGGGGGGGTGCCAGGGTTCTTCGGCTTGGAGTAGTTGTGTTTGGGGGAGGGGGGGGGGACCTTTTTGTGCTGCAGCATGGTGGCACATAGGGTTTCGGGTTTTAAGGTTTAGGGTTTAGTGAAGTGCATGCTTGCACATAGTGACACGTTAGGAACGTAATGCCGCGTGTTGCAGGCGTTCGTTGCTCAAGTGATGTAGCAACGTAATGCCGCGTGTTGCAGGCGCTCGTTGCTCAGGTGATGTAGCAACGTAGCCTCTTCTTGGAATGGCCCGCCAGCTCCACCCTATTTGAAGGACGGTGGGGTGTCGAGCCTCTTGGCTGCCATAAGCGCAAGCCAAGGTGCGACTCTGTTACGCCGCCTGCCGCGTGTATCCATGTAAAATGTGAAAGTGCGCAACTCGAGCTTATATGAGGTCCGTTGCTTGTTGTGTAGACTAGAGGCGTAGTTCCAGTGTCGGGTTTAGGGTTTAGGGTTCCCTAAACCCTAAACCCTAAACCCTAAACCCCAAACCCTGCTGTTGAAGGTGTGAGGTTTTCTTGTTGAGGGCTTGGGAGGGATGTCTTAGATTGCAGAGGTTCCGGTTCATTTGGGACCCCCACTTCGTGCCCCCAGCTAAGCCCCAAATAGTCCTTACACCCTAAACCTAGACCCTAAACCCGAAACCCTAAACCCTAAACTCTCCCCTAAACCCGCAGCTTTATGGACTTGGCCACAGGTGGAGTCGATACTCGATTTCTTGGATGAGCAGGACCGGACTTTGAGGATTTTAGGGTTTCCAGGATTTATAAGGTTTATGGTAGGGTTTTGGGTTTTGTGGAAATTGTATTCTTATATACGTATATAATGCGGGGCTTATCGGGTTTCTGGGTTTAGGGCAATTTGTTGGGGTCCATAGGTGTTACTTATTTTTAGGGTTTGTAGGACACATAACGTGTTCCAGGGATTTTGGGCTTTATGCGGTTTGTGGCCTTCAGGTGTTCTTTCCGTGGTTCTATAGGGTTCATTTTATAGCGCCCAGGAATGGAAGACTATACCAAATCCTCAAATTACGACGCAATATTCAGCATCAGGCTTTATAGGTTGCAGTCGGACTTATGAGATGTATAGGTCCCCGTCGGATTTGTGAGATTTATAGGTTTCGGGGCCCTGAACCCAGAGACTTTGAGCCCCTCCAGGAGCTGGCGCACGAGGAGGCGCCCGAGATCAAGATCTCCCGGAATGAAGGGTTTTGCTTAAACCCTAAACCCCATAACCCTAAACCCTATAAAACCCTAAACCCTATAAACCCTAAACCCAAAACCTGTGGTTCAATTTCCCTAAAGCCTAAAGGCCCTAGGCCTTAAACTCCAAATCCAAAGCCCTGATCCCAGGGGCCCTCTACTAAGCCCAAAAGACTGCAACACGGCATTCGTAGAAAAAGGTGTTCTGAGAAGAGTTGAGGCAAGGGGGCTGCCACATATCAGGGTTTACTGGAGGGTATTTCCTGGCCTGACGTCATGATGAAGGTTCTGAATGTCCCCCTAAACCCCCAAACCCCAAACCCCAAACCCTAACCCCTAAACCCTGTTTTGAAACGCAGCGAATCATGGGGAGGGGGGTGGAGGCGAAATTGCCCATTGAGGAGGGCTTCAGTTTTTAAAGAGCTTCTAGTCTGAGGGGCTTGCTTCTCAGAGGGTTTAGGGTTTAGGGTTTAGGGTTGATTATTGCGTGGTGGGGGGGGGGGGGGCCTTCTACCAGGTAAGTCAACCCTAAGGCCAAACTAGATCGTTTTGGGGGCGGTAACTTGTGATCCTAGCTGGGCCTTGTCAAGCAAAGTTAATGTAGGGGTTAGGGATTAGGGTTGAAGGTTCTAAGAGCAGCTAAGAAACCTTAATTGTTATGGGCCCTTTCGCCATAAAGCAACGATGCATGCATGCAGGCCCAACCCCTACGCCCCAAACCGGAATCTTTGCACCTTAAGCCCGAGGCCCTGAGCCTAAGCCCCTAACCCCCCCTTGCACCTACACCCTAAACCCTAACTAAACCCTAAACCCAAAACCCTAAACCCTAAACCCTAAACCCTAAACCCCATACTAAACCCTAAACCCTAACAAAAGCACCCAAAGAAACCCCCTAACTCCCCTGATCTCGGCAGGGCTCGGAACTCTGAGCAGAGAGGCGTGGCCCGGCTGGAGGTTGAGGTAGTTTAGGGTTTAGGGTTTAGGGTTTAGGGTTTGGGGTTTAGGGTTTGGGGTTTGGGGGTTAGGGTATAGAGTGTAGAGTTTAGGGTTGGGGTTTAGGGTATAGAGTGTAGGGTTTAGGGTTTGGGGTTTGGGGTTTTAGGGTATAGAGTGTTGGGTTTAGGGTACAGAGTTTAGGGCTTGGGGTTTAGGGTGTAGAGTGCAGGGTATAGAGTATAGGGTTTAGGGTTTGGGGGTTTTAGGAGTTTAGAGGTTTCGGGGTTTCGGATGCTCCACGTAGGTCTTTGAAGGTTCTGGCAGGTGGGATCAGCGTCGGAACTCGGTTGGCTTTGCTCAGGTGTTTTGCTGCGGGCTGCGCGTGTGGGGAAGACAACGACGCCCCTTTTTTTGCAGGCGCATCTGTCGTCGTGCGCTCTGCCTTCCGGCCGTGAACACGCACCATAGAGCTCCTTCTAACCGCAAATCCGCCAGGAACTGCCAAGAAAGCGAGTGCAGGGATTGGAAAGTCACTCACCAAGAAACCAATAAGCTGAGGATGGTGCTGGCATGTGGGTTTACATGAAGTACAGTCCATTTCAGTTCCAGTTCTGGTTTTCTGTCTTTCTGTCTCTCTGTCTGTAGGTCCGTTCTGTCTCTGGTGTGCGTGCGTGCGTGCGTGCGTGCGTGCGTGCGTGCGTGCGTGTGTGTGTGTGCGCGTATCATCCAAAACACAAATCCTGTTGTGGACAAGATCGTCCTTCTGCGCCACCAAATCTCTCCAACCTCTATACACCTTAATCCCCAACATCCCATCTACACCCCAAACCCTCAAACCTGAACCGAAACCCTAAACCCAATGCCCAAAAACCCAAGAACCTAAACTCATAACTCTAAAACCTAAACCCTAAATACTAAATTCCCAGCCCTACCATCGGCAGTCGCCGCCCAAGGTAGGCCGGAGCGGCCGATGGTGCCCTTTGCTCGCAAATTTGCGGTGTCGAGCAAAAATCGGGACATGGGGGAGTGCAGGGTTTAGGGTTTGGGGTCTTAGGGTTTAGGGTTTAGGGTTTAGGGCGAACAGGGTTTAGGAAGAGTAGCGAACCCAGACGGGTTTGACATCAACGAAAAAACATCAACTTTGATCATCTCCCGAAAGAATGGGTTTACGGTTGCAACCCTAAACCCTAAACCCTAAACCCTAAACCCTAAACCCTAAACCCTAAACCCTAAACCCTAAACCCTAAACCCCAAGCTTCAGGGTTCAGGGTGTGCTCGATCCCCCCCTAAACCCTAAGCTACTGAGCTGCACACCCTGAGGTGGGTGTACTACGGGTTTAGGGTTCATAAACTCGTCATCCTAAAATAGATACAAAAAATAGTTATGTAGACCCTGCCTTACATGCTCCGGAGGGTCCTTGTTAAGGTTTTCCACATTTTGCCTTGATTCCGCCGGTTGGGATCTAAACCCTAAACCCTAAAAGCCCCAAGCCCTAAACCCTAAGCCCTAAACCTTAAACCCTAAACCCTAAACCCTAAACCCTAAACCCTAAACCCTAAACCCTAAACCCTAAACCCAAACCCCAAACCCCAAACCCCAAACCCCAAACCCCAAACCCCAAACCCTAAACCCAGCCTACCCGGAGCCTGCGACTTGCAGGTTCATTACTCGGAGGCCCCCTTAGAGGATTCGGAAGGTAACCTTACAAAAACAGGGAACCGGAGTAGGCCCTTCTTTCCTTTTTTTTAGGGTTGGGGTTCCGCTTATAATCCAAAAAAGGGTACCCTTTTATTCCAGGTTACTCCTGGGTCGGTAGGTGTTGGGTTTTTGTCAACATCCCCCAAGCAGGGCTTACTTAGACAGCCCGGCCTTATTTTTTTGGGTGGTCCGTAACCGTAAATTCTACACCCTGAACCCTGAAACCTAGACTCAGGGGGTGGGTTTAGGGTTCAGGGCTGTGGACCTTCCCATTGGTAAACAAGCAAAGGGCCCAAAGGCGGTTTTAGACTGTTTATAATACTTGGTACCCTTTTACCCCGCTTTTTGTTTCTAGGTTCCCTTTCTAAAAGTACGTGACCATCTCCAAAAAGAATCCCCTTGTTATGACATGGTCAGAAAAGGGCAACGACGACGTGGGGTTACTGGGAGATAGTCTGACATGCTGCACCTTAAACCCCATACATTCTCCCTTCTACTAACAGTCCTTAATGCGGATTTTTGAGGGGTGCTGTTTAATCCCGATTCAGGACTGTTAGTAGAGTGGGGAACATCCTAACCTATCAAAACCCTAAGCTCAGGAGTTCTCGCGCCGCTTTCATGGCTTAAGGATGCCCAGCGGCATACAGTAGAGCCCCAAGGGCCCCTGCACTTTTGTAGGGTTCAGGGTTTGGGGTTTGGGGTTTAGGGTTTAGGGCTTATGGGGTTTAGGGTTTCAGGGTTCAGGGTTGTTGTCCCACAATATCAAAAGCCCAAACCCTCTTAAATGTTTCCAGCCTGAGCCTTTTAAGAACCTTTGGTCCAACAGCTGCGTCGACGTCCCCGCCCAACTAAGCCTAGCATATGTGCTTCCTCGTGCCCCGTTCGCGGCAGCAGAGTCATGCTAGTCTTGGTATTTGAAGACACAGATGCGCTGTCCCATTCCGTTCCATCTTAGCCAAAGCAGCACTTTGGAGCAGGCCGTCGACCTTGATACACAATTGCATGTGCGGTTGTCTGATTGCTGGGCATGCAGCCTGAAATCCGACAATGGCGCGCTCCCGTCGCAAGTCTCATGCTCAGGCACGTGGTGCAAGCGTTGGGATGTTATAAACCCTAACCCTAAACCCTAAACCCTAAACCTTAAATTATACTAAATTTTCCTTAAGCCTCAGTCTTCAACTCTAATTTGCTAGACCTTGAACCCTGCCCGAAACCAAAGCTCAAAACCCCACGGATCTTGAACACACCCTAAACCCTCAACTTGTGTGGGCCTGAAAATGCCTATCCCGTCTCAGCTTTTCGACACCTGCGTTGCTGTAAAGGAACTGAAAATTGAGTGATCACAATCCAGCAAACTCCAGAAAGTTGGAACAGGGTTTAATATAAGGACGGCTAGTGCAGGGATTTCCTTTAGTAACCCTTCGGCCCTCTGGGGTATGAGGATGTTGATGTTCCAACTTTTGACCGTTTCCTGTAAACAATTTAGTCTTTCACCCGAAGGATCCATGGACCTGTATAGTATATACTTGGGCCTTAAAGCTACTATATAGGAATCGCTTTAAGGCCCAAGTATATACTATTACTATACAGGTACATGGATCCTTTGGGTCAGGGTTCCGGGGATTTTGGTTGTGGCAGGATCCGACGCTTTCTGGATGTTCTGAACCTCACCGACACGTTGAGGCAGGGCGGCATTTGACCATCCGGCCCGACCACAGTCAACCCAAAGGCCTTGAAACCCTAACTACCCTAACTACCCTAAATACCCTAAATACCCTAAATACCCTAAATACCCTAAACCCTAAACCCTCAACCCTATTGACCCAAAAGCCCTGCATCCTCGATGCTCAGCAGGGCAACTCGGCGCCTGAATTGAAGCCTGTGACAGAGGGCACAGCTTCCCCCCGGCACAGGTGAGCTTCACGCCGTCACGGAGGTTTGACTGGGGTTTAAAAGGTTTAGGGTTTAGGGTATAGGGTTTAGGGTTTAGGGTTTAGGGTTAGTTTTAGATGCTGTAATGTTGGGGGCTGGGATCGTACGGTGATGATGGTGACTGGCGATGTCTCGGCACGTCCTGTTTCCTTCTGCAAGGCTCACGCCTTTGCGCATTGCGCGAGAGAGGAGCGGCTTTCGACGCGAGCGCACGAGTTCGGGCCAGGACATGGGGTGTGGCCTGGTGGCTTCACTGGCTGATCTCCAGCTGACATGCCACCGCCACACGAAGTACGATGGGATGTCCGATGAGCGTCGTCCTCGTATTCCTCCAGGTTTGAACGTCGGCATATGCTGCGGGATAAACCCTAAACCCTAAACCCTAAAACCCTAAACGACGGCATCAGAGACACGACAGGCTTCCATGTGATTGAGCATTATCGCTTTCAGCAGCCCGACTCGCGCACCAAGACCAGGGAAAGTCCGCAAAGCGAAGAAGCCTGCCCAAAGGATCCATGTACCTGTATAGTATATACTTGGGCCTTAAAGGGATTCCTATATAGTAGCTTTAGGGCCCAAGTATATACTATACAGGTACATGGATCCTTTGGCCTACCGCCTGACCCGAGCCCTCTGCTTGTCAGAGCTGGCGTCGCATGGAGCTGGAGGCAGCGCGATCTATTTTGCCGGAACTCACGTCGAGCAGCGTGCGTGCCGGATACGCTGGCGCTCGCCCTCGTCGCTCCACGCTCGCTCCCAACAGCGCCGCACCACCACAGACCGCCGGTGAATTACGTCCATGAATACGGCATATCACAAGCAACGCAGTGCTTCGCGAGGACGACCGTGAGATGTGCATCTTACAGCGACCTGTTTTGTTCTCGCCAATGGGTCATGAAGCATTCGATTTAGCTCCGTTCTGCAGCTTCCTCGTTTTCATCCAATTTGCAACCGCAGGACTTTCATGGTGCACGTGCAGCATTTTGTGTGTTGTTGGTTGTCAACTTTGATGACGACTCTGCTTACAGATGGGATGTTTGAAATTACGCTTGCCCGATGGACGTAGACAGAAGGAGACCCAAACCGGGCCCGTGCGTTTAGTGGTGTGGTTGCCAAAAAAGCCACACGAAATCATTCTGCCGCGCAAGTGAAACGAGTCATGACGACTCTGTGATTTGATATATATATATATATAACTTATATATATATAGGTTTTATTATATATGTATGTGTACATATATATAGATTCTAAGCAAATGCTGGGAGGGGGGGGGAAGGCTGGATCTACCAGCCTGACACGCGCGGGCAGCAGCGGTACAGAGGGAGTGGCGTCATCACGATCTAAACAGTTTGTTAGTCGCTCTCGGCGAAAGGCGCAGCAGCCGCCAGCATTCCAATTTGGATTGCTTGTTGAGGCCGAGGGCAATCCTTCTCAACGTGGGGGTGCGACAAGTTTAGTTTGCGATGGCTTGCGTGCTGGGTGACGCAAGCCTTTTCCAGCATGCCGAGAGCAGTCAGACCGAGTCAGACCAGGTAGTAGTTGGCCACGCGGTCCCGTGTTCGGGCCGGGCGCTTCGGGCCGTCACGCCGTGGAGAGCACGCTCCACCAGCGTTTTGATGAGGACGCGCAGGCGGTGCTGCGTACGAGCGAAATCGTAGAGCCATTCCAGCGTCCGCCGAGTTCGCATCCAAGCACGCGCAGGGACTGCGCGCCCAGCTCGGGGTACGTGGCCCGTTTGGGTCGCTTCGCGACCTGCACCATAGATGACGAGGATTGAGGTCCGATGCCGGGCGCCGTGGCGTGCGCCAGCCACTCTGTGGGCACCGCATATATACCCTTTAGGGCCAACAGCCCCGCAGGCGACCCAGCACCATGCCCTCTCTACGATCTTAGCACAGCGAACAATCGCGTCCAGGGCATGCAAGGGGGTTGTCGCCGAATGCATCCGAGCGCTGCCCGCACATCGCTGGGGCCAATTCAGCCGCAGTTTGCGGCGGAGAGCGATCAGCATAATCTCGCGGGTCGGCAACAGTAGGTGGTCGTTGTTTTTTTCTCGCGCCTTGTTTTCCACCTTCACGTCAAAAGTCCAAGTCCCCGGCGACCCCTGTCGGCATGGGCCTCATCGCAGCAGCAGCCTGGGCGCATCTGGGCACCGTGTCCGCTGTGGGCAGCGGAGGCATCGTCCAGAGTCCAAGGACGGCGCTGCAGGCCGCTTGCTGGTGCTCCACTGGGACTCGTCGTTCCAGCGCCCCCCCGATTTCAGCAGCCAGAACGCCAGAACGCACAAGCGATGCGGGCCCCCGCGAGTGAGCTCCCGTGCGAGCTTGCAGCGAGGCGCCGCCGCAAGTGCGACCCCATCCCGCTCAGGTTTGTCTGGAGATCATTGTAATAGTCACGGGGGGGGGGGGGGAGATGCAACAGTCGCTTCCGCCTGTGTTTACTTGAGGAGCAGGAAGCGACCTCATCATGTACAGTAATTGTAGGCTCCGCGTTCCTTTGCGATTGACATCATTTCGCAACAAAATCGTCTGGCAATTATAATGGTAAAATCCATGCGTTCGTTGGTGGAAGGGATGCCGCTGTACGAGTACGTGAGACACAGCACGGCCAGCCATGTTTCCACGTGCCTAGCGCAGTGGCTGCGTTCATCAGCAGCCAGGCTGGCGCCACGGATGACCAGTTTTCAACTGGAGGCCTCGCCTCAGCCCCTTGCCAGAAGACGAGATCTTCCCTCGCGCGCGGCTTCCAGGCAAGCAATGGACGCTCACTACTAAGGGCACGCACTCTCCATTGCTCCGGGCTTAGAAAAACTTCCAAGGGAGTCGCCAACGAACTGTTCCTGGGCAGTTTAGTGTAGTCTCGTGCGGTCCGGACATGACGGATGTCTACATTCTGGCATAACACATGTGTATGTTGTCGCTCTTGCAAGAACCATTCCAACGTGGGTCGAAAGGGCTCCGGGTGGGCCGACCCAGGCCACACCGGCCGCCTTCATTCCTTTGCCAGTTCTTGTCGGCGATGGCGCGTACCTGTTCTACGACCCAGGGCGATTTCAGACACGGGGAGACTTGTACGCCTTTTTGGACGACGCCACGTAAACGTCTGTCAACCACACCGGTTGTGCGCAGTCTGGCAATGTTCGATGTGATGGCGGCGAACCAACATGAAGTAGCGCAGGCGTTTCGTATTAGTACGGTGCCGGCCGCCTTCGGGACTTCAGGCTGACCGGACCTGACCTGACCTGATGGCAGCAAACCGTCGCTGCTTGGCGACCGACGTACTAACGGATGCGAGAGGCACGGAGTATGTGCAGCTGCCATCGACGGGGCCGAGGGCCGAGACCAAACAGCGTGCAGGTGCAAAGTCCAGCTTGCTGTCGACACCACCCTCGTACCCTCGACGCATGCGGTCGCCCGCGGCGGCAGCGCCGCACTGTCGGTGCAACCCGGAGCTCCTATGCCGCTTTGTCGTGCTAGCCATCGAGGTCGCACGACGTTGGAGTGCAGAGGTCCCCCCCGGCTCCTCACCCGCTCGGTCCGCACCGCCCCACCTGCGCGCCAGCAGCACCGCAGCGTGGGTGCAGCGATGGTCAGGTATCCTTGCCTGCGCAGCCGTCAGGTCCTTCCTCAGTGATGTGCTCACCGAACAGCCCACCGCTCGCCAGTCGCCTGCCCGCGCGGCGACGTGTCCCCGGGCAGCACCCGCGCGACGCACTCTGCACAGGAAACAATTGGCCTGGCTCGCCTGTGCTTGCACATCATATCACATCATTATGTTCCATTACAAAACAATCCACGTTCTATTGGGCTCACGTTTCAGCAACTGCCCTTGTTTTCACAGAGGTGATGGCGACGCTGGAAAACAGCGCAGTGCACCTTGCACACGACGTACGGGCAGTCTCTTTGTGCCTTGCAGCCTTCTTGTCTCCCATCGCCGGGTGGTGCGCCACCCGGGCGGCCGCTTTGGCGTGGGTGCGGCGCTGGTGGGGCCAGCCCTTGGTGTCGGTCCAGCAGGCCGTCGCCAGCACGGCGCGTTAACTTCATTGCAAACCTCCCCTTGGAACGGCACCCGGGTCGCATCCAATGATTGCTGCAAGCTGCCGCACAGCTCGATCATGGGCCCGGGCGTAGGCGAGGATTTCCTGCGGCGGCACCGTGCGTTGGGCTTGACGGGGGAAGGCACAAAGCAATAGGAGCAGCCATGAGCATTGCAGGTCCGGGACGACGCTGATTTTTGCGTGGGCATACCAAACAGTTTTTTTCCGAAACAGTTCCCCGCAGAGCGCGTGGCAGCGCGCGTGGCATCGCTAGCCCAGCACGTAAAGCCGCTACCCTGAGCCCTGAGCTGGTGGGGTCTCGCCACTGCCGTCGCTAAGGGGAGCGCCTTCTCGCAGAAAGAGACCCACCATCAAATGAACCAGACTGCAAAAATGATGTTGTTGTGTTTTTTTTTCATGTCGAAATTCGTTGAAAAGTCCTGCCGGTCGCCTTCAAAAAATGGAGCAATTGTTGCTGGAGTCGAAAAATCCCACACCGCGTTCGAGCACATCAGATGCAAGTGCCACCATTGAACAGCACCTCGCATGGCAGCTTGCGCATTTACAGCTCAAGCAATGCTTTGGGAGCATGATGCGGCCGGCTATGCCGCCGGATGCCTGGGCGCTGGCGCGGGCCTCATGCAGGGTCCTGGCTCACCGCCATACCAGCTGAGCCACAAGCACTCCACCGCCGCCTGCCCATGCTGCTCTCCCTTTGCCATGGCAGGTGTGGCCCGACACCCGGCAGTGTGGCACAAGTAGATCGGCTCGGTGACCACGCGCTCACTTGTCCACAAAGCGGCCTGCTCGCTCGACGCGCCGAGGTTGTCGAACGCGCGTGGGTCCGCGTCGCACGCGAGGCCGTCGGTGCCGAAGGGCAGGTGGCGCCACAACAATGGCTAGTGCACACCATGGCGCCCGGCGTGCACGCCGCCTAGATGCGGGCGACGCCTAACGGTTCCGCACTGTGCTGCGATGCGACACGGGTATCGCCACTTACGGTGAACTGTGGAAGTGTAAACCGGGCATTAGAAACATTGAAGGCGATACCGTTCGGCGTTCATTGGGGGGGAAGCGGGATTGTAATGTAGCACGCTGTGCAAATATGGCGCGAAGGACGCAGTTATCATGAGAAGCGCGAAAGAAATCGGTGGATCGAGCAAATTCTTAACGTATAGCACGGGCGATTCGTATCATGACAAGCGCGGGAAACTGCGCTGGGTCAAGCAGAATCTTCAGTCAGATATCATGACGCAGGAGAACGCGTTGGGTCGGGCAGAATGGTCGGCTCGTCGTGCTCGTGCTCGAGATCGGCGGACGCCGGAACGACGAAGCAGCACAATTCCTCCGTCTCCTTGCCCGTTGCCGGGCACGTGAGGTCCCCCCAGCACTTCGCGCCAGTGCCATTTCTGCGTGGGTAGCTCGCTGGTCTGCGCTCCAGCCTCCTATTTCTCCCGATTGCAGGCACAGCCAATGTCGATGGCATGACGCCGGATCTCAGCGAGGTGCTTGCAGACGAGCGCTGGGAGGTCGCCCCTCCCCTCACCAGCCGCCTGCCGCTGACGGCGTGAGGCCGTCCGGCCACCAGTGCCAGTGTGGTCCCCGCTCGCCCACCGAGCCCTGGCATTGACTGGAGACACATGCTGCGTTGAAAAGAAAAAACACAAGCGACTCAGTTATCATACGTCATCATATGAGCTGTCTGCATGAGCAAATCCCCGCGCTGACCCACGTGTGGCTGAGTGTTGAGGTCGCCTCCAACAACATATGCTGTGTTCTTTTTTCGTGCGTCTTCTGAGTCGCCCATACATTTGTTTCATGTTTTCTGTCTCCTGCCCACTTTGTGTCCGGTCAGTGGGTCCTAATTACACGACAGGTGTCGCAGCGGCAGGCGGCTGGGCTCTTCGGCCTCTGCGAGGTTCGACAGAGAGCATGCCCCACTAGCGACGCGTTCAGCCTGAAACCGTGAAGGTGGCGTCTCGCAGGGCCGGCGGCGCGGCGTTCCAGTCAATGCTCGCGCCAGGACCGACAATGGGTCGAAGTAAACGACGATGCTCCGCGTTGTATTCTCTTCGTAGTATTAGTATTATCATCACGCGGGCTCACATTTTATCTTATTTTAAGCCCGCCCGTAATAATATACTAAATACCCAATAAAATACACTAATTTAGTATATTTATTAAGGGGGCTCTCTATCTTTCTTATAATGCCCCCGTTAACATTAAATGACAAGTGAATAGAATGAGTGAAAAAGCCCCATGAAAAGATATCTAAATTAGGGCTTTTTCTCCATCAATAATTCTTTGTCTTGTTCCTTTACTTCGTTCATGCTTTTCATAATGAAATCACGCACTCACTTCATTCGTTTGTATTTCAATTAAAAGCATTCTCTACGTAGTATTAATATTGTTCTTACTGCGCTCACTATATTACGTTCGCATGTTGGTTTCGTTCACACACGCGCGTAATAATAATATAATTCATGCGGTGAACTTATAATTATATTATTATATCGCACGTTGTGTTCTCTTCACGGTTATAATAATAATATCATGACAGGGTTAAGAGTTCAATTTGTGCGACTCTGATCGGTGGATTGTTCTGTAAACGGGTGCAAAGCTGGCAATGGGACCGATGCCCCGATCAATCATACCTCTCAACGATCAGAGCTGGGCAAGGGTCTTTTTGAACGTAAGGCGCGCGTAAGCGGCGCTTGAGCACCGCCAACAAATCCAGGCAAAGCCACATTGGCATATTTGCGCAGCCTGCTGGCCCAACGCGTCTCCCACTTTGACAGGATGGATAAACCCGTTTGCTATGATTGAAGATTCTGCTCCCAACACGTTGCGTCCTGATAGCCGAGTCGCCGGTGCCATATGTTCGCGTTTATCATGACAGCTGAATCGCCCGTGCTATACGTTAAGAACCCGCTCGATTCAACGCGTTCTCTGTCGTTCGTGATAGCCGAGTCGCTTGCACCACACTAGCGGATTCTGCTACGGCGTCGCTTGGGTTTTGTGCTTTGTAGTATTGGCGTTGACGTTTCGCATGGTGGAGCAACTGATTTGCTGGAATTGGGGTCTGATGATCGGGTGGTGCGTGCGGTCCTTCTAGTGACCGGGCCACGATCCCGCCAAGCACGCAAGCCAGTCACATGTAAGCAACGTTGGTTACCGTTTTTGAGCAGAGTAACGATAGCATTGACGGCTTTTCACCCAGCTTGCACCCTGTGCCCATTTTGTGCGGCACTCCGCCTCCACCTTGAAAAAGGATTGTCAGAAAAACAGCAACAAGTGTGCGAGCGCGAGTTAAATTTTCAGCCAATGGGCTAGGAACACCACGGCCTATGCTCCCATGTATGGTCAACATGACGCGTGCGCTAATGCGCCGTGACAAATGACAGGATACTGGTGGGGCTGTGGATTGCCTATGCTTTCGGCCGTGCGACCCTCCGGCGAGCACTCGGTGCCCAGATTCATACGAGCATAGGCCAATTGTGGATTCCCTTTTCCTTCCGAGTGTTAAAATGTTTCCTCACTAAGCGGTAGGGTCGCACCCTAAAGTTCCACTGCGGCAGGGGGCCACCCATGCCCTACGTTGAATCCACACAATGTCGTGTCAGTTGTTCAGACATTTGTCATGTGTTACAGGAACGGGTTATGAACTTTCACCACCTGTGAATCAACTCCTCGGGGAAATGGGGGCACCGCAGTTCAAGATGATTTTGAGGGTCGGGATACTTAATAGTAGGCCCCTTTTATAATACGATAAGGACCCCCACCAAACTTTTCAGGCCCCTTCTTTGAACAGCCAACAACGGTTTCCATTCGAGGTTATGCCGGCGACAAGCCCGGATACTCCGGGTATGGTCGCCGGCGACGCCGTCCAACCAATCCACCCGTCGACGCTCCGGGAGAGGCAATGGTTTTGCCATCCAACGGTTGCGACGAGAGAGAGGTGATGTGGCGAGTTCCCTAAGTTAGGGTACCTCTATTGGGCACTTTGCATGAAAGGGGCCGCTTTGACGCCGAAGAATTCTGCAGGACTTGTTCACTGACCTCGCGGCTACCCGTTGTTTAGAGCCACTTGGCTGTGCCCCTACCATAATTGCAGAGCAATCCGGTTTTTCCCGAAAGCATGGGGAAGGGTTCTTCCGTGCGGAGCCCTTTGACCCAACAAATAAAAACAACATAGACTGAAGTGTATAGAGTCAACAACATAGAGTGAAGTGCATAGAGTCAAGTGCATAGAGTTAAGTGCATAAAGTGAGCGCCCTGACCCAACAACATAGAGTGCAGTGCATTGAGTGAAGTGCATAGAGTTAAGGTGCATTGAAGTGCAAGAGTGAAGTGCACAGAGTAGAATTCACGAGGTTCTAGTACAGGAGAGTAGAGTTTACGAGATAGAACTATAAATTTACTAGAATTTACGACATTTGACGAGATTTTATCAGAATTTAGTAGACCTTCGTACCCAGTCCTACATTTCTGAATGAAAAGAAAACTCTTTAAGGCGGCGGGCAGGGTTGACGTCGTCCATCGGGATTGCAACCCTCTGCGGGTTTCGGCATGGTCGCGGTGCTGAAACCGTCGTTTTTTTTGCGTTTCTTGCCGTGCGCGGACAACCCTCTGCGGGTTTCGGCGTGGTCGCGGTGCTCTTGCTGTGCGCGGACAACCCTCTGCAGGTTTCGGCGTGGTCGCGGTGCTAAAACCATCGTGTTTTGCACTTTTTTTGTGTCCGTGTCAACCCTCTGCAGCGATCGCCGTGGTCGCGGTGCTGAAACCATCGTGTTTTTGCTTTTTTTGACCGAAAACGTGCTTTGTAGTACAAAAAGTAGTACTGTGCAGGGCTGGTGCGCTCTGTTGGGCTTTCGAAATCCTCCTCTGTAGTACTCCGACCGTGGCTGGGAAGTCGACTATTTGTAGTACAGACGTAGTACGCCGGGGACTTCCGTGGCTGGAAAGTCGACTTTTGTAGTACACATGCAGTACGCCGCGGACGCCCGGAGCTTCCTTGGCTGGAAAGTCGATTTTTGTAGTACAGACGTAGTACGCTGGGACACCCGGAGCTTCCGTGGCTGGAAAGTCGACTTTTATAGTATAGACGTAGTACGCCGGGGACTTCCGTGGCTGGAAAGTCGACTTTTGTAAAATGTAGTACGCCGCGGACGGCCGGAGCTTCCGTGGCTGGAAAGTCGATTTTTGCAGTACAGACGTAGTACGCCGGGGACACCCGGAGCTGACGTGGAAATATCGTGGGACTCGAAGTCCGTGCCTCGAAAAACATCGCAAATATCATGGGACTCGAATTCCGGGATGTCGAAATCGTGGGACTCGAAGTCCGTGGCCTCGAAAAACCTCGCAAATATCGTGGGACTCGAAGTCCGTGGCCTCGAAAAACCTCGCAAATATCGTGGGACTCGAATTCCGGAAACCCTCGCAAATATCGTGGGACTCGAATTCCGGGGCTTCGAAAACCTTGCAAATATCGTGGGACTCGAATTCCGGCATTTCGAAACCCTCGCAAATATCGTGGAACTCGAATTCCGGGGCCTCGGAAACCTGGCAAATATCGTGGGACTCGAATTCCGGGATGCCGAAATAGAGTTGACCACAAGTGCATGGCATTCAAGTCAACACACTTGAATGCTATGCAGTTCTACTGCCTAGCACGTGCAGTATACAAGTGAATATGCAACCATATAAGTGCATACACGAGTGCAAAGAGTCAAGTGCATGGAGTCAACGCACGGCAAATCGATGCTTTCGGGCCATCCCTTTTTTAGTCTTTGTTTTTATCCTATTGAGTGCTTGGCGATGCTGAGGATCACATCCCGGTTGTCCGGCAGCATTGCCAAGCTTTTCCGCCAAGCTGGGGATGGCGAGGGTTGGTCTGGTTTTTGTGCAGTGCCTGGGCGGTTGAATGTAAACCATAAAACCCTAAACCCTAGACCCTAAACCCCAAGCCCTCAACCCTGAAGCCCGAATCTTTGGTGCACATCCCAGGTGTGCAAAAGACCGCTGGATGTGCCCGGGCAAATCACGCGGATATTTTCGTTGCTGCGGATTAAAAGGGATTAGAATCTGGCATATGTTGTTCCTATTGAGGACGGCGAGGATAAGGGGGGACATCCCAAGTGCCATATTGCGATGCGCAAGCGCTCGGGGTGGAAGCATCGGTTTTTATCCCGTTTGCGTCCCTGGGGGCCTTCGTAGCAGCTGTGCGGAGATGAAACCCCATGGCCGAACATGTGTGTACTTACATATATGAACAATAGTAGCTGCGCGGTACATGTCTGTATATTATATATATATATATGTATATATGTATGTGTGTGTGTCTCTCTTTTTTTTTGTGTATATACGTGATGCAAGGCTTGGCCCCACAACCGCCCTCAAGATTCCATCGTTGCTGTAAAAAGAATGTGCCTATAGTTTCAAACGTACAGTTGTGATTGCGAGTGGTATTGTGATGTTGATGTCGATGTTGATGCTATTGTTGCTATTTGTTGCTCCTGCTGTGTGCTGAAACGTCAACTCTGCCGTCGCGTTCTCGAGAAGTCAGGGAATTGCAAATTTTGCACGCGTACCTGCATGCCTGCCACAGCAGCTCTCCAAGGTAAAAATTGTGACTCAGAGCCATTCGCTGCGCACCAATGAGGCTCGGCAACTTTCAGCAGCAGCGTTCGCATTTCCCCATTTTCGTAATGTGCAGATGTGGCAGGTGAATCCACAGCGACGTGGGCGGTATGCATTCGTCATTTGTTTGTGGGGCTCTTCGAAGGACAATGGCCGATCATAGCACTGAGAAACACAGACGTGCAGCAGAACTGCATCGCTTTTCTCTTGGCGACAGCTCGCCAGCCAATTGCTTTCGAGAGAGTCTGTCATGGATGATTCGCCGAAGACGCTATTCCAGCGGACTTGCATGTAGGTATTAGGATGTGCACATGAACATGAGTGACGTCATGCTCCAGGACTACGTTCTCGGCGCGTTGGTGTTGGGTTGCTTGGTTGTTGTTTGGAAGTTGTATGGGTATTCTCACGCTGGTGTTTTTGGATTTTGGTTGTGCTTCACCGTTCTGGACCACCTCGATTAGATAGAAAAAAACGGTCCATTGGCAGTCTACTTGATTGATCCATACTAGCCGAGCGGTATGCTGCAGCAGCGCAACCCGCAAATCAATACTCAGGTTATTCCATCAAGCGGACCAAGACGCAAAATGCACTGGTGTGCTTGCACGCAGACGACGTCCCAGCAGAATACGCAACTTGGTTCATGCACTGTCCTCGTGTTCCTTTGGGACCAATGAACCCTCAAATTGGGATCATCCTGCTATGGACCATTAACCCTTTTAGCGTTCATTTGGTGCTGGGTTTGTGCCTTGCGCCTGTGTGTCAGCATACTTACCCGGCAGACTTCAGAGGCCTGGATGTGAAAAGTGTTCATTTGGTCCCCAAGGATTGTTTGTCGTTGGCAGTGTTGACTTGCCATTGGAGACGCCCCCTCCTCCGCAAGCAAAACCCAAGTCCCGAACTCAATCCTTTCAGTTGAAATAATACAAATTCCCACGAGAAAAATTAAACATGGCTCAAGGGACCTGCCCAAACTGAATTATGTTTCAGCAGTGAGATTCCGCGGCTTGTAGACGGCAGTTTTGGCTGTATTCGTTGATCTGAGGATGAGACAGGGAATCGACCACTTTTCGCGAAATCCTGGTGCCCCCCTTCCCATTTTCTTCCTGAAGCACAAAAAAAGAAAGAATAACGACTACCAGACGAGGCTCAGAAGAGGCGCAAAGGAGGCTTAGCAGAGGCCCAGAAGAGGCTAGCGGCCAGCCCCACAGCCCCCCCCAGAACCCAAACCCAGCGCAATGTTTTTTTCCGGCCCCTTATTTCTGGAGAGATTGAATCAACCAAGGGGGGGGGGGGGTTCTTATTCTGGGCAAGTGGACATGATGTGTGAAACCAGCAACGGACGATGCCAGAACGAGGTCATGTTGACCTGCGACGGTTGGCATTGCTTTTCTTTTCGCTGCGCAGCCCTTAAAGCCTAAACCCGAAAACCCTAAAACCCTTAAACCCTAAACCCTAAACCCTAAACCCTAAACCCTAAACCCTAAGCAGCTAGGATGTGCCACGCATCGAGCCGCTTGAACTGATGTGCGCTGTGCGGAGGTTCAGCTGCTGCAATTGTTTTGGGAGTGCCGCGTAGTGGAGCACATAGAGGCCAGGACCCTGAACCCTAAACCCTAAACCCTATAAACCCTATAAACCCTATAAACCCTATAAACCCTATAAACCCTATAAACCCTATAAACCCTATAAACCCTATAAACCCTAAACCCTAAACCCCGGGACCAAAGCTGCTTGTTTGGATCTGACGTAGCTGTGCCAACCAGGGCTTTTGAACCCAAACGTGGAGGCATGGGAAACCAGCAGAAGCATTGGATCTACGCCCTAATTACCCTAAACCCTAAACCCTAAACCCTAAACCGCAAAAACAAAGATACGCAAGCATTCTGGGTCAGCGCCCCCCCTGGCAAGGTGAAGGCAGCGCGGAGGCTTAGCACGGATGATTCTTTGGTGGCACCCCCGGAAGCCTCAATCGGTTTAGGGTTTAGGGTTGCTAGCGTTTAGGGTTAAGGTTTTAGGGCAAGCTACCACACGAGCCCTGGAGCAAAAAAGGTGTAGGGTTTGGGTTTTAGGGTTTAGGGTGTAGGGTTTAGTGTCTAGGGTCTAGGATTTGGGATTTAGGGTTTAGGGTTTAGGGTTTAGGGTTTAGGGTTTAGGATTCAGCCTTTAGGGTTTAGAAGTTCAGCATGTAGAGGGTGGGACCCCCGATGCGCTGCCCCGGCAAGACATTCCGTGCGTTCGCATGTGAGCCAGAGACTCCAAAACCCCTTAATTAAGGAATATACCTTAAATCATATTAGGGTTCCTAGTATAATTTAAGGTATTTTCCTTAAATCATATTAGGGTTCCTAGTAGAAGTTAAGGGGTTTTGGAGTCTCTGGGGAGCCCTTGATGCAGCCGCTTGTAAGGACAAAATCGAAGAGTCGCGATTTTTCAAAGTGTTTACGAAGCTCCGCGCGCTGGAGCAGACAGACTTTGAAAAGGCCCAGTTTCTGCGTGCTGCCGCGTCAGTCCATCCAGTTGTGCCACAATGGAGTTTCAAGCATTAGATCGCAAACGTTGCTCAAATCCAGCCAGGTTCTCGTCATGGACATCGATTTATTAGTTCCTTGGTGGCATTTCACCTTCACACACAAGTTGACGCCATGCCTGAAGCGACTCGTGGTGTCTTTCAGGATTGTGGGGTTGGGTTTAGGGTTTAGGGTTTAGGGTTTAGGGTTTAGGGTTTAGGGTTTAGGGTTTAGGGTTTAGGGTTTAGGGTTTAGTGTTTAGGGTTAGGGTTTAGGGTTTAGGGTTCAGCATCTCTGGTCCAAGCATTCACAAAGGGTTTCTGTCATCACCCTACGTGTTTGGCATCACCCCTCCCTCCCAGATCCTTCTTCATCTGAATTACATATCTTCTTTCTTACTTTAGTTGATCATTTAGCTCGCAAGGTTTTTCAAGGTTTTTCAGAGTTTTTCAATGTTTTTTAAGGTTTTTTCAATGTTTTTCAGTGTTTTTAAGCCTCAATGCTGATGAAGGGCCGCCCCCGCGACCTTTTCACAGCCTAGTTTTGGTCAAGGGGGGGTGGTATTTTTCAATTTTAAAGGCAAAATAGTCTTCGGAGACCCCCCCTTGCCTCAAACTCCGACCCCCCCTTGAGAGGGAAAGTTTGCCTCCAAAAACACCCCAAATGAGGGGGACCCCAGGATCGGCCCGGGTCCCTATTTAAAATGTGATTTTTTAGTACTGAAATCGATGGTCCCGGGCGGGCTCTCGTTTTCTGGATTTTTGACCAAAACGGCCCCTCCCAGCCAAGAGGAAGCAAGTCCCCGGGCCTCCCCGGAATACTAAATTACGAAGCCGGGCCTCCCCGGAATACTAAATTACGAAGCCGGGCTTCACCGGAATACTAAATTACGAAGCCGCGGAATACTAAATTACGAAGCCGGGCCTCCCCGGAATACTAAATTACGAAGCCGGGCCTCCCCGGAATATTAAATCACGAAGCCGGACCTCCCCGGAATACTAAATTACGAAGCCGGGCTTCACCGGAATACTAAATTACGAAGCCGGGCCTCCCCGGAATACTAAATTACGAAGCCGGGCCTCCCCGGAATACTAAATTACGAAGCCGGGCTTCCCCGGAATACTAAATTACGAAGCCGGGCTTCCCCGGAATACTAAATTACGAAGCCGGGCCTCCCCGGAATATTAAATTACGAAGCCGGGCCTCTCCGGAATACTAAATTACGAAGCCGGGCCTCCCCGGAATACTAAATTACGAAGCCGGGCTTCCCCGGAATACTAAATTACGAAGCCGGGCCTCCCCGGAATACTAAATTACGAAGCCGGGTCTCCCCGGAATACTAAATTACGAAGCCGGGCCTCCCCGGAATACTAAATTACGAAGCCGGGCCTCCCCGGAATACTAAATTACGAAGCCGGGCCTTGCCCGAATACTAAATTACGAAGCCGGGCCTCCCCAGAGAGGCCCCGGAACCCTAAATCCTAAATCCTAAATCCTAAATCCTAAATCCTAAACGACCAAACCGGGAGTACGACCCCATTAAGGTTTAAATATACATAGGTAGAGAGGGTTTAGGGTTTAGGGTTTAGGGTTTAGGGTTTAGGGTTTAGGGTTTAGGGTTTAGGGTTTAGGGTTTAGGGTTTAGGGTTTAGCCTCGCGTTTTTTGGCTTGAATCCTCCACCAGGTGCTGTCCAACATCGATGACTTGTTCGAACTCCCGGCGCCAGCGGGGATGAAGCGTGGCATGAACAAGGGCCGCTGGCCCTACACACACGGCTGCTGGGCTGAAGGTTTGGTTGAAAACTTACTTCTCCAACAGCTGAACTTTAAACTTTTTGGGTTCCCTTATTTAGTAGGAATAATAAAGTTTAACCTTTTTTCCCCTTGGTTATTGGAGAAGTAAGAAAAGCCATGGCATGGCATGGCTGCTATCATGCTGCAAGGCTCCGATTTCACCATCCGCCCCAAACCATTTAGGGTTTAGGGTTTAGGGTTTAGGGTTTAGGGTTTAGGGTTTAGGGTTTAGGGTTTCGTCCAAAGCCCTTCCAGCAAGATCCGAACCTCGGAAAACTACTTCCTTGCGCAACCCTGCGGTGCCGCAAGCTCGTTGGGTGGGAATATTGGATCGCTACATCAAACCGTACAAGTTATCCCAAAAATCGGATTTGCGTCTTGGTCCATTCCATGTGTCTTTATCCGGTGCCGCTCGCCTGGCGCAGAGTCGTAGAGCTCCCTGCAGAGGCGATGACATCGACGGCACCACGTGCTTGGGACTGCAATGACAATGAAGTATGTTCAAGGGCTCACTGGGTGTCAGCACCCTACACCCGGAACCCTAAACCCCCGGTCATACCGTCCCGTGGTTTTCCGCAGTCGCGGTTTCCCGTCACAGTGCTAAACCCTAAACCCTGGCTCGAGGAATTGCCTTGTGGAGACTAAATGAACCCTCCCAAGGTTGAAACCAAGAGATTCGCGGTGACTTTCGTAGGAGAGGGGAGATGATCCCAAATTTGGAGTTCATTTCTGTAGGGCTTAGGCTTTAGGGTTTATGGCCCCCACGGAATGTTTGAGGTCTTGAGGCCCTATGCCCTACACCCTAAAGGCTGTTCAGAAAGCGTAAGTACTTTGCAGTGCGACATTGCTAACAGGAAGCGAAGTTTCGACAATTACCGGCTGTTCAGGCTCATAGTTCTTTCATGGGCTATTCATGTGCTCCGCTCTCAGGGGCGCGAACCAAACCTAGCGTCATGGAGGTGCCAACTTCTGAAGTGTGAGCCGATGGCATGGAACTCTAAGTGTTAGTGACTTTTTGGTTTAGGGTTTAGGGTTTAGGGTTTAGGGTTTAGGGTTTAGGGTTTAGGGTTTAGGGTTTAGGGTTTAGGGTTTAGGGTTTAGGGTTGCTGTCCTCCATAGGTGCCAGGGGGGCCATAAAGGCCAGCATCATCAGCATCAGTTGGCTCCCTGCTATGCGTCCGGGCCACACGGGCAAGCGTCATCGGCATCAGCACTGAGGGTCAGGGGGGTTTATGGTTTAGGGTTGGGGTTTAGGGTTTAGGGCTTGGGGTTTGGGTTTTGGGTTTAGAGTTTAGGGTTTAGGGTTTCGGGTTTAGAGTTTAGTTGGGCTGCAAAACTGCATGCTCTCTCGGTTTAGCCAGTGCTGTTCAAAGCACACTCCGGGCGCGGACCTCAGAAGCCTGTTGCAAAAAGAGTTTAGGGTTTAGGGGGGCCATAAAGCCAAGCATCACCCGCATCATGTTTGACAGTCCGTTGGGAATGTCTCCGAAGGCTCCTTGAATCGGCGTGCAGGCCTTCAGACCGACCAAACGAAAGAAAGCAAGGCTTATTAACCTGAAACCCTGCAAACCCTAAACCCTAGATCCTAAAACCCGAAATCCTAGAACCCTAAACTCTAAATCCTTATAATCCTTAAAGCCCTAAATCCTAAAGCCCTAAACCAATCCTAAAATCCGAGTACAACCCTAAACCCTAAATCCTACAATGATAACCCTAAATCCTAAAACCCCCTAAACCCTAAACCCTAAACCCTAAACCCAGAAGAGCCACTTCTGGCGGCGGAAGCCCAGGTTCTTTGGCGGCCGAAATCCAGGCAACCCACACTCCTGGGGCCAAGGCCCGTTTTGGGGGTTTAGGGTTTAGGGTTTAGGGTTTAGGGTTTAGGGTTTAGGGTTTAGGGTTTAGGGTTTATGGTTCTGTGGCTCGTGTTCAGTTGGAAGTAGGGGTCTGCACCTGTTTCTATTGGGGCCTACGGCCCCAACTTGCGGTTTAGGGTTTAGGGTTTAGTCAGGGCTAGGGTTTTCCGGCACAATGGCAGCAAAGCTTACAGGGGGTTTTGGGGGCTCCTCCCGGCATGTTAGGGCTTAGTTTGGGAGTTTAGGGTGCAGGATTTAGGGTTCAGGGTTTAGGGTTCAGGGTTCAGGGTTTAGGGTTTAGGGTTTTGGGGAGGTGGGGCTTCCTGCACAGGCACGGGCATCAACGCAGGCGTGATGCTTCTGGAGCCCAATGCCGCCGAGTTCCAGGTGATGCAGGCGAGAGCCAAAGACAGAAACCAGCTACTCAGGGTTTAGGGTTTAGGGTTTAAGGTTTAGGGTTTAGGGTTCAGGGTTTAGAGTTCAGGGTTTAGGGTTTAAGGTTTAGGGTTTAGGGTTTAAGTTTTAGGGTTCTAAATCCCGGACAGCCCTCAACCCTAAGCCCTGAAGCCCCTGCAAGCGGCTTTCAGTCTCCATTGCCGGAATCCCCGCCGCAGCTCCAGTCTTTGTAATAAAGAAGCAAGATGAGAGTCCCACCACTTGGAGGTCCGGTTTAGGGTTTAGGGTTTTTGGGCTTTGCTGCAAGTAATCGGGCTGATTGTCTCCCGAAAAAGGCTTTAGGGCTTAGGGTTAAGGGATGCGTAGTCATACCTTGGGGCCTCGGGGTTGTAAGTGCCCGAGACAGGGAACTCGTCGGTCACCTGGCGTGCAAGCCTCGCATGACACTTGAGTACCCAAGCTTTTGTTCGAAGCTGCCAACAATCGCAGCAAGGAGATTTAGAAAGAAAGCTAACTCAATGAGCCAAATTTTGCTCGCGTAGCTCGAAGCATACCCTAAAGAACCTGAAGTGCTTACATTCCACCCGAACCCCGAAACCTTAAACTCTAAATCCAAAACCGTGTGGCGGGTCTGCTTGGCTGGTGGCCAAAAAAACACAAATCCCTAAACCCCAAACCCTAAACCCAAAACCTTTAGTTTTTCGAACGACCCTGGGCAAGCAATAATCCTGGAAAGGAAGAGCTCCTGGAGCCGTACCATCCCGCTCACGTCCGTGGCAATGGCCCCGAGCAGGCCCAGAAAAAGGGTTTAGGGTGTAGGGTGTAGGGTGTAGGGTTTAGGGTAGGCGGTTGAAGCGCTTTGAACGGTTTCGGGTCTCCCTAAACCAAAACCCTGGAGGTTAAGCGGGTTTTTCACGTGTTGCTAGGTAGTGCCAAGGTGGTCAGGATAACAGCACCCCTAACCTTCAACCATGCTCGGTTCGCGCACGCACGCTACACAGCTCTGGCTGCGTAAGTGCTGCGTAGCTCCCATTATGGAATTCTTAAGGGAGGGGGGTTCAAGGGCAGTATGTAGCCCAAGGTTGGTTCCCTAATTCTCCCCACCACCCTTAGCTTCCCTTATAAGGCTCCCTAGATACCTACCCCCGTGAACCCCCCTCCCTGAACAACCCTATAAAAGAAGCCCTCTCAATCCCGAATTTCTAAAACCCAAGAAGTGGGGTCGTCCCTAAGGACTACCTTAGCCGGTTTTGGGCTGATCGGCCCTGGCGCCACATCTCAGTTGCTTGGCAGTGCAGGTCAATTTGTGTGTGCGTGTGTGTCCCTGAACCCTAAACCCGGAACCCTAAACCCGAAACCCGAAACCCTAAACCCTAAACCCTAAACCCCTATTTTCGGAAACCCCCAGGTCGAATACAACTATCAAATCCACCATCTCTACAACGCCCTCCACCCCATGTTGGGCGACGTGGAGCGCCTCAAGGTAGGGATGGTTTAGGGTCTAGGGTTTAGGGTTTAGGGTGTAGGGTTTTGGGTTTTGGGTTTCCCCTGAACACCCTAAACTTGGGATGTTCCCCCTTAGAAGTCCTTAATAGGGATTGTGCTAGTATCCGCTGTTGGAATCCGTATTAAGGACCGTTAGTATAAGGGGGAACATCCCAGCCCTAAAGAGGCAAGTAGTATAAATACAAAACCATCGGTCTGGACACGGCTTGCCCTCAAGCCTAAACTCTAAGCCCGAAGTTGCTAAAGGAGTGTTTGGGAGGGGGCCGTAGGCAGCCCTAAGCCCTAAAATTTGAGTTCATGGCGCCCACAACCTGATGTTTGAGTTTCCGAGAATGTCCATCTCTCCTATTGGATTTACGATCTCGGCCAGGGAAACTGTCACGTACCTCGCTCATTCTTCCTCAGTGGTGCCCAGTTACCTCTGCTTATATGTCTATGCAGCTTCCCTAATGAAGCCCATTTCAAGAAAAAGGGTTCCCTCTCCTTCCCCTAGATGACTGGTGCATCTGCCACAGATGCACACCTTGGACAGGTGGCGCAGAACCTCAAAAGCATCCGCGTCATTCACTACTCCGGGGAACCTGAGCCGAAGGGTGTGTGTACATTCTTTTTTGGGGGGCTTCTAGATGGGAGGTTGTCAAAATTATGATCCCTTTTGGGGTACCCTAAATATTAGGTGCCGTATTATAATAGGGATCCAAAAAGGGACCATCATTTTGACAACCACCCAAATGGCAGTGCAGTCTAAAGTTTAACGGCCATGGGAGGGGGTAAGTTTGGGGGTTGACACGCCGGAGGCTTTCAGCAGAAATCCTCAGCCCCAAACCCCGAGGATCCGAAGCGGGGGTGCCTCAAGAAAACCTTTTGGGGTTTAGGGTTTAGGGTTTAGGGTTTAGGGTTTAGGGTTTAGGGTTTAGGGCATATAGGGCCTCCAGCCACACGGCCCAGCGAGCCTGACCTCAATCTCCATAAACTGTTCTTCCTTGGTGCAATATTATTATCTTTTATTGTTTGGGGTTCTTAAGCAAGTAGTAGTTCAGGGTTTCCTCAAAGAATTTGAATTTTGCAGGAACAAAGAAAGTGTAACAGTTTTTCTGTCTTGGTTTTTTGGAGAAGAATAGCAATGCCAGAAGGCCTGCGCCTAAACATCCTCAAATCCTTGCCCCCCCCCCCCCCCCCCGCTGTCATTATGCGGTCTTGATTTTCGCTTCTGACTTTGTGTTTTTGCAAGTTGTTATATACGCAGTCTTTTGTGATACATTGTTACATATACAAGAACATATGACACTCTACTACTATATATGCAAGCTGTGTAGTGCTGGATCGTTTTCGGACTTCTGTTGAATAACGAAGTGGGTCTTGAGCCTTTCGGAGCTCAGAGTTGTTCATGGTCTTGGCATGCAAACTTACCCTAAACCCCAACCCCAAACCCCAAACCCTAAACCCTAGACCCTAATTAAGCCCTAAGCCCCAAGCCCCAAGCCCCAAGCCCCAAACCCTAAACCCTAAACCCTAAACCCTAAACCCTAAACCCAGCTGAGTGAAAGAGCGTTCTGTCCAAGGACTCGGAAGTGAAGCCGTGGACCCGATGCCTGGAGACGTGGAGCAAACAGCCCAAAACCAGGGTTTAGGGGTTTATGGGTTTAGGGTTTTAGGGGTTTAGGGTTTAGGGTTTTAGGGTTTAGGGTTTAGGGTTTAGGGGTTTAGGGTTTAGGGTTTAGGGTTTAGGGGTGTAGGGCATAGGGTCTGCGATGGGTTTACAATGAACATGGGCAGCATGAGCTCTTTCCCGGCACGCACACCCAAGCCGGGATGCAAAAGGGCAAAGGGTTTAGGGAAATCTTGCAAGCCAGACCATGAATGACTCTGAGCTCCGAAAGGCCCAAAGCCCTACACACCACTATAAGCTGGTTTGAGGGTTTGGGGGTTTAGGGTTTTGGGGGGGGGTTTAGGGTATAAACCCAATAAGCCCCATAAACTCTGAGCGTTTTCGTATGCCAACTTGGACGTTTGTCTCCGCCCATCATCGCCCATCTTTGTTTTGCTTCAGATTGCCTTGAAGCTCGTGGCCTGAACCCCCACCCCCCCCCCCCCCCCCCCCCCCACCCCCCCAAACCCTAAACCCTAAACCCTTAAACCCTAAACCCTCCAAAGTGAAGGCTTCGGCCCTTTTTGGGGGGGTCTTTTGGGATCCCTCCGCGGGCCGGCAGGGTTTAGGATTTAATTCAGGGTTTGGGACACCCTGAGCCCTATAAGCCCCCTAAACCCTGACTGCAAAAATGGGGGTTTCGGGTGCCCAGGAGAAGACTTTCGGCTGGCCGAGCCGCAAAGAAGACGACGAGTGCCCCCCCCCTCCTCCTCCCACGTCGGGCTTCGGTGGGGGTTGGAGAGAAGTCGATGCTTGGGCTTAGGCATTCAGGGGTTTCGGCCTCATAAACAAGAACCTCCAAGAGCTTCTGTGGCTTTTCTGTGGCCCCTTGCGGCTTTGTGAAGCTGCTGCTGCTCCTTCGCGCGGGCCTCCGCTTCTTTCTTGACAGACATTCAGGCATTTCTTGCCACCAAGCTCAACCACATCTTTTTGCGAGGTTGCTTCAAGACATGTTGTGATTCTATTGGGTACCACTTGACTTACATAACCCTAAACTCCCTAAACCCTGAAACCCTAAACCCAACAGATGCGCTCGCACGGAGAGGTACATGAAGGAGTTTCTGTCTGCGTATCACTCCTACCTCCTCTGGGTGGAGAAGGATCGCGAGCGGTGGACAAGGATGGAGAGGAGACCCCCCACCTATGCTGTGCATTGGCAGTGTAAGAAGGTCAACATGCTGTATGAGGTTCTGTTGTGCAGACTTCAATGAAACTCTAAGCTTGGAACCTTGAGCCCTTAGTATTCTCCCTTACCCTAGAGAAAACATAACCGGGGTGCCCATGATGACCCTGTGGCTTTGAGAGGAAGACCCCCCCTGAATGATGAATGATGGCATCCCTACCCTTTCAGGACCATGTTCGAAGACAGCGGCATCAAGGGCTTCAGCTTGGGGGAAGATGGTGGCCTGGAGAAGTTTTTCGGAATCTGTAAGAGTCTACTATTTGCTTAAGAACCCCCAAGAGTGTGAACACAAGTATAAGGGGAAGATAGGGACATCAGGGTAAGATACTGATTGCGACCTTTCATTTTTTCCGGGGGGTTCGTAAGCAAGTAGTAGTATTTTGGGAAGCTCAGCATAAGTCTCAGGTGTGATCTACTATCAAGAGGAAGAGGGCAGCGAGAAGATGCCTCTGGACACGGGGGGCTGGAACAGCAGAGGGCTTGGGGTAAGCCCTAAACCCTAGACCCTAAGCCCTAAGCCCTAAACCCTAAACCCTAGTAACCTAGCATAGGGTTTGGCTTGTTCAGGGAGGGCATCCAGCATAGGGTTTAGGGCTTGCAGGGTTGAAGTATTTAGGATGAGCAAGCCACACCGGCTCAGCTCGCGCGAAAGCATGTCAACAGTACTGCAGGGGCGGCTTACCATGGAGATTGGGATGTTCCCCCTTATACCTACGAACAATCCTTAAGGGGATTATACTGGTTAAGGACTGTTCGTAGTAAGGGTTAACATCCCAACATAGAGTATATAGGCAGAGGCCTCAATCCAGCATTTCGGGCCTTGCCTTGATAATAGGGTTCTTTAGGGTTAAGGGTTTAGGGTTTAGGGTTTAGGGTTTAGGGTTTATTTAGGGGCTCTTAAAGGAGGGTATGTAGCCCAAGGTTCCCTTATACTCCCCATAAGGCTCCCTAAACTTCCCTAAGCTTCCCTAAGGTTGCCTAGGTACCTACCCCCCTTGAACCCTAAACCCTAAACCCTAAACCCTAAGCCCTAAGCCCTAAACCCTAAACCCTAAACCCCAAACCCCAAACCCTAACCCCTAACCCCTAAACCCTAAACCCTAAACCCTAAACCCTAAACCCTAAACCCTAAACCCTAAACCCTAAACCCTAAACCCTAAACCCTAAACCCTAAACCCTAAACCCTAACCCTGAAACCTGAACATGGTCAACTGTGCCAGGAGACGGCGCCCGAAGCCGTCGAGACAGCCCTGGCCGCGACACGGCCCCTTCGCCTTAGAGGATTCTTAGGGGTTTGGAGTTTAGGGTTTGGGGTTTGGGGTTTGGGGTTTAAGGTGTAGGGTTTAGGGTCATCGGGGCTTGGGGGTTGGGATGTTCCCCGTACTAACAGTCCTTAATCGGGAATTATCATAGGGGTACTAAAATCCCTGGTAAGGAGAGTTAGCAGAAGGGGGTGAACATCTCAATCTTAGGGGTTTAGGGTTTGTGGTAAGGTTTCGGCGGAGCTCGGGGGATCCCAGCAGCTATAGGTGTGGATTTTAGGGTTTAGGGTTTAGGGCTGTTGGTTTCGAGGGACATCCGAAGCCCCCCCTACGAAACTTATACATGAAGCGCAAACACCGACTAGAGCAAATAGATTTCAACACGAGAAGCAACACAACTTTCCAACCCGACCTGTGTTGATTGTGCTAAAATCATGTTTACGTTTCTCAATGTCCTTTTTTGCCTGTCTGCCCATACTTTCATTTCAGGGTTTGTAACCAATGTTGGAACCCATGTAACATGTCTGTTCACCAAGCTTTAGGGGTCCATGACAGCCAGCCGCCACCCGGCGACGTACACGAGACTGAAGCAGAAAAGACTTTCCATGAGAATGAACGCCTGGCCTATAAACGACGAGGACGTGTCAGTTTGCAGGTGTTTCTTGGATGTTGGATGTTCACAATGTGTCGGTAAGGTTGCTTATGTTTCTCAGGTTGTGGGGGTTCCGTTGAATATTACTTAGGCATTATACTAGTCGAAAGGGGAATGGGAATACAGAGGTAAAGTGGAACCAAGTAGGGGGGTCAAGGATGGAGGGATAAGGGGTTGGGGGGCCTGCCCCCCACTGCCCCCACTGCCTCCCCCCACTGCCCCCACTACCACCCAGATCCCTATTCCCATTCCCCTTCAACTAGTATAAAGTCAAGTATAAAAGCAAGATTCAACCGAACTCCCACAACCTGAGAAGCATAAGTCAAGCCATCATACCGACACATTGCACATCGGAAAACCTAAGCACTGAGGCGTGCGTTTTTTTGCAGGCGCCACAGCGACCCTTTCTGTAGAGGAACTATAGATTTCATGAGCTTATGGAGTTCAGTGTTCTTGTCACAGGAGCAACAAGTGCATGCCGAGTCGTTTATAGCTTCACTGTGCACCTTGCGTTTTGCTGGAGGGGGGGGCAGGAATTGTGCACGGGGACTTCAGTAAACCTCAACCCTAAGCCCGTGCTAATATAGGCGTCTAGTGACACTAGTGACGCGCGAGCTAGCCTTCCGCACAAGGCTGGGCTAATCTTTGTCAAGCTCCTAAACCCTAAACTCCTAAACTCCGAAACCCCAAACCCTAAGACCCTCAACTCCTAAACCCTAAACCCCAAACCTTCAAGTCGAACCCCGAAGCCCTCAAGGCACCAACCCCGGCCCAGGTTTTTCCTTTCCTCTTGGTTCGACACGCTCGAGGTCGCAGGGGGGTCGCAGGGGGGTCAGGTGGTTCAAGGGTTTAGGGTTGAGGGTTTAGGGCTCAAAAGGGTCGCGGGTTTAGGGTGGGTGTAGGGCTTAGGGTTAAGGGTGTCGGGTTTAGGGTTCCAACGTTGGCCAATTTCGGGTACTTATTTTTAAAAAGGGATGATAGTGAAAAGGGATGATAGCGTGGAACTCGCCCAGAAGGCGAGTCAAGTTAGATACATACACCCCCGCCCCGAACTTAAAGAAAACACACACTAGAAGCCCCAAACTTTTCAGATTTCCCCGTGCTGGTAGGTTATAGGTTTAGTGCTTAGGGAAGATTAGGGGGACGGTGCCCCAAAGCCCTGTAAACAGGCTGCCAACGGGTTCCTCGGCTACGACCTGTGCGAGCGCCTCAGCGAAGCCTCCACCACGGTGGTGGCGCCCCAGAGAGGCGAGAGTTGGGCTGAGGGTTCAGGACTCAGGGCTGAGGACCCTAAACCCTAAACCCTAAACTGGCCCTAAACCCTAAACCCTAAACCCTAAACCCTAAACTCTAAACCCTAAGCCATTCAGGGCTTAGGGTTTCGGGTTTAGGTCCTAAGACCCCAGGAGCTCTGAAGCAAAGAAGGGCTTGGGACCTTAGAGACCCTAAACCCTAAACCCTAAACCCGGGCTTCGGGCTTAGGGTTTTAGGGCTGAAGGAGTCCATATGCAAAAGGGCTTAGGGCTTTGGGTTTAGGGCTTCACTGCTTGAAAAAAGGCGTTTCTGGGTTTGGGCTTGGGGTTAAGGGTTGGGGGTTTATTAAAACAAGTGTCGGCCTCAGTCGGGCTGCAAAACAACAAGGGTTTAGGAGGATTTGGGGTTTAGGGTTTAGGAGGATATGGGTTGCGGGTTTGGAGGGTTTTCTGGTGTCAGGTTGCAGAAGTGTGCTTCCGACATTCCAGGTAGAGTCCGATTGCACAAGAAATTTTCGGGCTGGGGATTCGGAGGTTTAGGGTTCAGGGCTTTGTGTGTTTACCACGGCTGTTGGGGGTTTAAGGACCAGGTTCCCAGTTTTATGTGTCACCAACTGCAAGAAGGTGGTCGCTTTCTTCTCTAATGTAGCTGCCGCGTCTCTCGAAAATCCAGTTGTGAGTTCAGCAACGCGGGAGCCTATCCACGACATCGCGTGCAGCAATCATGACAATAGGCATAGAGATATCTTGGGGATGTCTAACATGGTGCGCCTGAAACCCTAAACCCCAATCCCTAAACCCTCCTGTCAGGTGGTATTCATGTCTCAGCCTGTGGAACCGACCAAGAACAGAGATCTTGGGTTGCTACCCGGAGCATGCGTGGACTTACCCTGCACATGACGCTCCTTAGGGACCAAACGAACCGTAAAATTGGGAGCATATGCCCTGTGCTACGATAATCCCCGATCAAGGTATCTGGAACACAAACTCGGGTTTGGCGTTTCGGCACCGATCGGATGCCAGGTCGGGCTGGCTGGGAGGGTGTTCGGCAAGTGGGTGAGGAGTATGCGAAAAAAGAGAGCCCGACCCTAAGCCCTAAGCCCTAAGCCCTAAGCCCTAAACCCTAAACCCTAAACCCTAAACCCTAAACCCTAAATGCAAGAAAAGGGCTTAGGGTCTTCCGGCACCGAAGCCATGATGCGCGCCGCTCTCGCTGCCACTGCTGCCGTGGCCGCCCACGGCGCAGCCACATGCCCCTGGGCTTAGGGCTTGGGGTTTAGGGTTTAGGGTTCAGGGTTTAGGGTTTAGGGTTTAGGGTTCAGGGTTTAGGGTTTAGGGTTTAGGGTTTAGGGTACAGGGTTTAGGGTTTAGGGTTTAGGGTACAGGGTTTAGGGTTTAGGGTTTAGGGTTTAGGGTTTAGGGTTTAGGGTTTAGGGTTTAGGGCTCAGGGTTTAGGGTTTAGGGTTGGGCTTGTCCAGATAAGGGGTCAATTAGATCGAGTTTCGGGTTCAATTGTAGGTTTTGCCTCGACTCTGCACGACAGTTCCTTGGGGTATGTTCCGGCGTTGAGGGGGGGTCGAGGCATTTGGTGTTTGGGTTTGGGGCCCACAATGAGTTAGGGAGTGCACGTTGAAGATGGCAGAGGACCGACATTCATACTTGGGGAGAGTAAGAGGAAGAGGATCAGGAGGACGATGAAGAGGAAGGGGAAGGGGAAAGGGAAGGGGAAGAGGAAGAGGAAGAGGAAGAGGAAGAGGAAGAGGAAGAGGAAGAGGAAGAGGAAGAGGAAGAAGAAGAAGAATTAGTAGTAAAAGTAGTAGTAGGAGGTGCAGGAGGAGGAGGAGTCGCAGGGGGTGTATGGTCTATTTGGTCCCCAAAATTTCTTGCTGACTAATTAGACCCATCAGCACGAGGAAGTCAAAGCCCTTTGAGACCCAAATCTTGAAATTCAGGGTTAGGGTTGAGGGATTCCAGTGTCACCTACCTATCGTGTCCTCTCGGAGCCATACATTCAAAGAATGGCCCCTCCTTAGGCTTAATTTGTGAAAGCATTCGCTGAAATCGGGGCAGTATGCTTGCTTGTCTGCACTCTTTCAGGGAACTAAACGAGGGACCCTTATAAGGGACCTCAGGGGTAATGCAGGGGCTACTTTGGTATATAGGGGCTATGAGGTATATATCATGGTCGTAGAAGGGGAATAAGAGTAGGGGTCCCTTCTATGGGGTCCCTCCTTCTACCCCTTAACTCTTCTGCCAAGCAGAGAGAATCACAGTTGCGGGGTTTAGGGTTTAGGGTTTAGGGTTTAGGGTTTAGGGTTTAGGGTTTAGGGTTAAAAAAGGTTTACGGCAAACGAAAAGGTGTTTAGGGGGGTTGAAGACTGCCTACACTGGCTAAGTGGCCTCCCGGGCCCAGGTCCTGCGCAGGAGACGCTGGATGGCATGCTCCTTGGCGCGGCTTTGGGCAGAGTTTGTGAAACCCTAAACCCTAAACCCTAAACCCTAAACCCTAAACCCTAAACCCTAAGAAAACATGCCGTACCTTTTCCTTCCGAGCTTGAGGAGCTCGTACATACTTGCAGGCTACCCAGTATAGAGCTTATCCCAGGCCGCGGACATGTATTGGGCCGCGGTGCCCTAGTTTAGAATAGACCAGATTAGAAGGGTTTAGGGTTTAGGGTTTAGGGTTTAGGGTTTAGGGTTTAGGGTTTAGGGTTTAGGGTTTAGGGTTTAGGGTTGGCTGTCGGCTGTCCTTTCCGGGCCTGGGCTTCTGTCAAGCTTCCCTGCGGACATGTGTTGGACCTGCGTGGAGGATTCCAGTACATTCTGAGCCATATCAAGATTCTACTCGAACTACGGGGGGAGGGGGCCCTAAACCCCAAACCCCAAACCGTAAGCCCTAACCCGAGGAGATGACAGCAAGGAACCTCAGGTTTCGGGTTTAGGGATGCAGGTTTCTCCCGAAGTCCCCCCGGAGTTCTGGGGCTCGAACGGCTTCAGAGTTTAGGGTTCTGAGGGTTCTGAGGGTTTAGGGTTTGGAAAACCTTTTGTGGGCACTGAACCCTCAACCCTAAACCCTAAACCCTAAACCCTAAACCCTAAACCCTAAACCCTAAACCCTAAACCCTAAACCCTAAACCCTAAACCCTAAACCCTAAACCCTAAACCCTAAACCCTAAACCCTTTCGGAGGTGCAGCCTAAGCGAGGCACCTTAACTCGGTAGGCAGCCCAGGCCAGCATTTGGGCCTCTTGCGGCTCCAGGGCTCCAGGTGGTGACCAAGTGGGGATTAGGGTTTAGGGATTTATAGAAATTGTATAGGGTTTGGGTCCCAATAACGTTTCGAACGAAAGTTTCGAACGAAACGTTTCGACCGAAAGTTTCGACCGAAAGTTTCGGCCGAGTTTTGTTTTTTAAAACTGGTTGAGGGGGGGAGGGGGAGGGGGGGAGGGGGGGGGGGGGGGTGGGAGGGGGGGGGAGGGGGGGGGGGAGGGGGGGGGAGGAGGGAGGGGTTTAGACAAATAACTTGAAAAATTCAGAATTAGACAAATAACTTGAAAATTCAGAATGATACCACATAGGAGGGGGGGAGGGGGGGAGAGGGGGGGGGAGGGCGAGGTTTAAGTAAATTGAGCATTTGGCCTCAGACTTAAACTCGGCTTGTCAGCTGTTTAGACAAATAATTTGAAATTCAGAATGATACCACATACAATTTCTATTTATTTTGTCTTGAGGGTTTAGGGTTTAGGGTTTAGGGTTGAGTTTAGGGTTTAGGGATTTAGGGTTTAGGGTTTAGGGTTTAGGGTTTAGGGTTCAGGGTTTAGGGTGACGTTCAGAGTCTGGGTTCAAAAAAAGGGTTTAGGGTTTAGGGTTTAGGGGTAGGGATGAACCACCGATTCGACTAAGCCGAGGCAGTGCTATGGCCTGGAGCTCGATGCTCGGCTCGCACTGGCAAACTGTCAGTTGGAGGCTTTGGGCTTAGGGTTTAGGGTTTAGGGTTTAAGCTTTGAGTTTAGGGTTTTAGTTTGGGGATTCTGGGTTTCCGGGTGAGTGACTTGTGACTTGTGATTCGAGCCATGAAGGCTAGGGGACATTTGTTGCACTTTTGAGCTCACAACGCAAAGCTAGTTCATGGAGTTCAATTATGCTCCTACAAAAGCTCCCGAGACTAATCATGAGATTCCCCACTTCCTGGGCCCTGACGCAGAACAAGTAAGGGCCTTTGAAACAGGTCGGCAAAGCTCAAGCTGCAACAGCCAGTGCTAAACCCTAAACCCTAAACCCTAAATCCTAAACCCTAAACCCTAAACCCTAAACTCTAAACCCTAAACCCTAAACCCGATAAACCCTATAAACCCTAAGCCTACTACTAGGAATAAAACACACTAGCTAAAGGGGGCTTTGGAACTGGAACCCACACTTGAGTTCTTGTCATGGACTTCATGCTCCTTTTGTAAACCCTAAACCCTAAACCCTAAACCCCCCATGCAGCGACATCTTGAGGATGCTGCTTCGACCAGCGCAGCGAGCTGCCGGGACACCTGCAGCTGGGCTTCGGAAAAGTTAGGGTTTAGGGTTTAGGGTTTAGGGTTTAGGGTTCAGGGTTCAGGGTTCAAGGTTCAGGGTTCAGGGTTCAGGGTTCAGGGTAGCCGCGCGAACGTCAGATCTTGACGCCGGCTAAAGGGCAGTCCAACAACCTCAGGCTCCTTAGAGCACAAGGGATCTATTAGCCCGCTTATACTTCCAGGGACCTAGTAGCTAGGTTGCTCGAACCCTTACGGACTCAGTTATTTGGTCCCTGGAAATTCTGGGGTAACCTGAAATCCCAAAACTGGCATGAATCCACAAACCCTCAACGCCTCGGCGCTTCTCTCTTCCGGCGACCACCCGAGGCTGTGCCGACAAAGCCTGCGAGGTGTGGGCCAAAACCCTAAACGCTAAACCCTAAAACCCTAAACCCTAAACCTTTGCTACAATCCTTGGAGTGACCAAGTCTAGT